TGTCCATTTGTAATTGAAAGAGAATTTGTGGAATGTTTTTCATCATGTGGTGTCTAAACCTTGCTTAGACCCATCTTTTTGAGTTCTGAATTAGATGCTTTAAAAATTTTCAACAATTTTTAAATTTAATTAATAAGTTCTTTATTTTAAAATGTTCTAACCCCCCCCCGCAATATATAGCTAATGTTTGTTTGTTTGTTTCTTTAATTTAGCGCATTGATGTGTTGGGCAAGTTGGTGGATGATCTCATCGCAAAGACGCACGAGTTCCTTCAGCCCAATCCAGGTAGTAAAAAGTGTTTACCTGCTTACAAGTGTGTACTATGTAAGATTTGTTGAACTCTCTTTTTCTTCTCTGGGTAAGTCCTTTTTTTCTGCTAAATATTGGAGTGTTCTTCTGTTTTATTATGCAGGCCCAAGTAATGCCATTTCCTGTTTTTAGTTTCAATATTTATTTGGCTGTTATGTACTTTCAAAGGACTATTATAAATCTTACTATGTCCGTGCATAAATAGGTTATTTCTGTTTATACCCTGAAACTCAAGAACCAAACATGGTCTGACATTGTTTAGCATACATCCCTTTTGGACATACACGAAATTTATCATTTTTTCTTATTTTGTCTATTAGCCTCAAGAGCAAAGATGTCAACCCGAAATGCAATCTCTAAAATGAGAGGTCAGGAACAGAGAATGTTATACCCACAGCCAGAAGGAACCTTGGGAGACCACATGCACAAGCATGGTTCCGATCTTGGAGTGGAGTCAGTTTTTGGTTAGCATATTTTCTAAACATTAATATGGAAGTTTATATTTATTTGTTCCTCTTGACTGAAAACTCTTGGCTTCATGACATCAATATAAGACAGCCTGTTCAGCAAGGTTTATCACCTTACTCTCTAAGAACATGTACAGTGAACATATTGGGTTGCTGTCACTAAGGTGCTTATTGTTATACATGTAATTCACTTTCTTTTATCTGAACTACTAGCTAAGTTCCCATTTGTTGCTTGGTACACATAGATGCATTTGGTTAAATGCCTGTTCAAACTTGGTCACAAGTCAGACAATCAATGTTATGATTGCTATTCCAAGGTGATAGCAGCCAGACTTAAAAGCAACTACATCTTCCCTGAGTAGTGTGCTGATATGCTGCTGTAGTTTTACTCTTGATTTAAAAAAAAAAATGTCTCTTGATTTGAGAAAAGTAGGATGTATGATTCAAGGCAAAGAGTTTCTAAAGCATGACAGTCTAATCTTGTTTCAAAACTAAAAAGGGAAACTCAAATGTGATTCCTTTACTTCATCATCCAGTGCCAGATCTGCGACAGACATCGGCGATCATGATTTTCCATTCATTCCTTTGCTCGGGTGCTCTCAGAAAAGCTACGTTTCCCTGATTTTTCCCTGTTACCCATTTGTTTAGGTTCCCTAAGTATGTTGTTCTGGGCCTACCCCTGCCTCGCTTGCCTTCAATTTTGCCAATGAGAGCTAGATGTTCAAGACCCTCATGTCTATTCAGGTGTCCCAAAAACTGCATTTGTCGTCTCCTGATTGTTTTTAACATTGAGCGTCCCACATGGGCTTCATCAAGCACTACCTCATTTGATTTCTTTTCCTTCCACGATACTCTTAGCAGTCTCCTAAGAAACCACATTCCTTTACTTACTGCATTTTATTTTGATATATCTCCAATTTGTCTATTCTCATTGAAGACCTTTCTTTCTTGGCAAACGGTTTCCAATTATTTCTTGTACTTGAATCACTACTGAGGAGTCTCTTTTGCTGCAGATGACATTTTTAAAATGATTCTCTCATTGATTTTTAGTGAACATGACCTGTTTTGTAACAGTACATATATGTATTGGATTGTTTAGGAGGGCTGTGCATGCTCGTTCTGTGATCTCTATCTACTCTTCATCATGAAACTTCTTTCATTGCTCTGAGGCAGTATCTAGATTTATGTTTATTGGTTTAGAATAATTTAAGTGTTAATCAAGCTTGTCTGCTGAGATTAAGATCTTTATTGTGAATAGCCTTTCTTTTATCTATAAAAGCTTACATTATTCTAGATAAATTGTATGATATTTATTTCACAATGTGTCCTATTGTTTTCAGGGGCATGTCTCGTTGAAGCTGGAGAATCATTTAAGCATCTAGCAGAAATCAAGTACAACCTGGAAGACAATGTCAAGCAAAATTTCCTGGAACCTCTCAATCAACTGCAAAACAAAGACCTGAAGGAAGTCAATGTAAGACCCTTCAGTTGTTTTAGAACAGTATCTGGTTTTATTTTGAAAAGATATTTTTTAATAATGTCTTTTTAACTGTTTCACCATACGTGCTCGGAAGATGGTATGGGTACTTTTGAGTTCTAAATAGCTTTGATGTTGCTTTTGTCCTCTTCTCTCGGCTGCCTCTTAACTTTTTATCTCTGGAGGTGGTTTTCCTAATATGCCAGAGATTTTTTTTGTATCAAACCTAAAGCTACTCCCCTGGCGGTGCTACTGACTGAAGTGTCTTTTGGCCATTCCCCAAGGGGGGGGGGGGGGGGGGGCATTAAGTTAACAGTTAACATGTTTTTATGCACTGCAGAATTTTAAATGGGCTGATTCATCAATGTCATTCTCAAAACTGTGCCTGAACTGCAACAAGGAACTGCTGCATTTTATTTCCTAATCCTTAGTATCGTCATTTTCCTCTACTTCTTTTGTATGTTTGTCACACTCTTGTGACCTGCTACTTCCGTGGTGCCTTGATAGTGAAAGGAGACTTTTTGCTGTTGAAGCTAGAGAGGTGAGCAGAGTAAGCCTGATTCCCTGTAAGTACTTCTCTGTTGACATCCACCCCTTGGCGCTCATATGACCAAATGCAGTTGCGAGCACTGTAAAACCTCTACTAAAACTAAAAACCTAAAGTGACATTTGCGTCCTTAAATTGGTCACCAAATTAAAAGAAGTGGACCTATTTTGATAGTTCATCATTTAAGGAAAGAACTCCCTGTAATAGAGACATATTTTCGTCAATTGCTGAAAATTAATGTAACGTTGATGGAATTGTTTTGCCCAAGATACTGTGTAAAATATGCCTGTTCCTCCTTCTCTGTACTGCTACTTTATATGTTCAAACATGTTTACACGTTTCATTCAAGTACATGCATTGTAAAACCAATGGATGCAATGCATAATTTTCCATGGCACTTTTTGCAAGTGCAGTACTTTTCTGAGAAGTCCCAGAGGACTACTTTTTAATTGAAGAGTGCTCAGGTGCGATATACGGACCAGTTGTTCGGTTCAGTTGTTATATCAGAGGTCAAAGTTGTCAGAATCATGAAAGGTTCCCTCATCAATTAAGTCCAGTCAGAAAGATATTGTTGTTTTCAAATTTATCTATTGAAAGCTTTTCAAGTGACCCAATTAGAGTTTTTTTTCTGTCTTCTCATTGACTATCTAAATAATCTACTTTTTCAGTAATTAAATGAACAGAATTTAAAGGCTTATTTAAAATTTAAGAAACCCAAAATTATTTTGCCTTACCGGTATAAAACTTAAATGTTTTTTTGTTTTTTTTTCTTCAGCATCACCGTAAAAAGCTCTCTGGAAGAAGATTAGACTTTGACTGCAAGAAGAGAAAAAAGGATAAAGGTAAGCAGAATATTTGATATGTTTGGCCTGTGGTATATCTGAATGAGTTGTGACTGTGTCTTTAAGTGTTGTAGTATACCATGTTGTTATGTCTCTCTTCTTCCTCTGAAAGTATGTTTGTATGCAGTGTTATTTGTTTGAATTTATTTTGGATGTTAATGTGTTTGTCTTGTCCCTTGCTCATCCTTAGTTTTCTAGATGTTGGTTGCTGTTGATGGCCATTATTACTCACCTCTCATTTAAAGTGAGTTAAGGTTAAAAATTAGATTGAAAAACATGACTTAAAAAAAAAAAATTGAATATATTTGGAAGAAAAATTACAGAAATGTTTTAGTTTTATGTTTGTATTTGTAATTTTTGGTAAATAAATGTAGGACATGTCACAATTTATAATATTCATAAAATTAAAACGATTTGTATTCATAGAATTTAAAGTAAAACATAATTTAGTTTAGGTAAATAAATTTCAAGGTCGATTTTATCGATTAACTTTCCTGAATCAGTTTTACGATTAAAGCAGTGTTTTTCCAACCGAAATGTTTCCCTCATTTTAAATAGTGAACTCCTTCATTTTTGAAATTTATCTGAATTCTCTTTTAGAGTTATTTTTCGTCCTTACTGGTGTAGAAAATCAATAAATATTAAAAGAGTTAGGAATTCTTATGTTGCTGAACTTTTTAGATTTTTTTTTCCCTTGAGCTTTAACTTAAATGTTTTTGCGTTCAATCCTCTTGCTTCCCTGCTGTTCTTCCAATCCTCATTATTTGTGAATTTAAAAAAAAGCACATGCAAAACATAATGAATTTTTTTAATAGTACCGCGAATAAATATATTTAGGAAAACATGGTGTAGGAAAGAGTGATTTTAAGCCTAACAATGTAAAAATGATAGACGAAACTGCTTTCTGTTTAAGTATTTATGTTGAATTGGGACTTACCTGTTGTGCCACAAATTCTCACATGTTGATTAATTCTAACCTTAATATGAAATAACATGCATTGTGAAAATAATGATAATAATAATAATAACGATAATAATGATGATAATAATAATAATAATGATAATATAATAATAATAATAATAATATGTTTGTATTTGTTATTGTTAAAAGTGTCTATGATACTTTGAATAAACAAAAGTTCCTTTTTTGGGGCATATCGGTAGTGAAGTGAATTTTAAATTGTCTCCATGATGAGAGGACGATTGATTAAAGTTTTATATATATTTTTTTACAGTTAAAGATATTAATTCAATGACATTTTAAAGTGTTCTTTTTATGACATAATTGCGATTGAGTAACCACTCTTTCTGAATTTTAGTAACTTTTCTGTACTGTTTGTAATATAGATTGAAAGTGTCTCCATTATTACTTTTACTATTAACGTTACTGTTTGTTATATTAACATACACCTTTGTTGCTCTTATTTTCATGTCACACCTTTCACACCTGTAGGAGGTAAGGTCCTGTCTTTTACGGTTATCTGGCTGTTGGACGTGTTTTTGAAATCTTCAATCTTGAATGCCCTCTTGTCTGTTCACAAAAAAATAAGAGTCATCTATCATAAGAATATTATGCTTACAAGAAATGGCTTTAATTTTAATGTTACTATAAAATTATGCTGATTCGTAACCTTTCATGGCTTTGTGCTAAATTCTTCAACATAAGTTCCAGGGCAAGAGGGCTTTCAATCAATTAGTATGTAATGATGTAATTTTTCAAAAAGAGGACAGTTTGCACATGTGAAGTAAAATAATTCTTTGTTAATGTTTCATCAACTCCCCTAAAATAATGATGCATACTTGGAACATGATTTCCATAGCAAGATGTCATAAGTAAATGTTTGAAAATAGAAATAAAGTCTTTCCAGACGTCGTGTGAATTTTTCTATCCCTTTGACCTCTAACTACCCCCTTCCTATTTCCCTCCCAAACAACCCTGTCCTCAATTTGAATTATTGAGATATGATTATATATACATCTTCATTTAATTGTTTTAACTATGATTCATGGTACATGTCTCTCTGGTTTACTTTATACTCTGTTATTGTATACTTGGATTTTCAAAGGCAGTAAATCAAAGAACAATGGGAACACCACAGTTCAGATAACGTCTAAAGAAATTTGATCATAAGTTGTCATGACATAGCCATCTCTGGGTGCCAGGGCTTTATGAATAAGAGATTCATAATGTGTAGATAAGGCAAATTTCCCGCCTGTAATTTTTTTAGTTTTGCCTCTTTAAATTCAAGTTCACTCTGATTTCACTCTTGCATTTAGATAGTGTAACATTGTTCCATGAGTAGATATATAGGATAGCAAATGCCATCCCATACCAAACCAACCAAAGAAACTAGAGGCTTTTAGCTCGCTTATGATGTAAGAGATAAAAATTGAGTGCTCTTAATTTAGTTACATTAAGTGGTAAAGATGTTTTGTTAGTGACAATGTTTTATGCCACAAGTTTATAAATGGCCAACTGCTGTATTTTGTATTGGCTAAAGTATAGCTCTTCTTTTCTTTCTTTCCTGTTCATCACAGGAAAACCACACATTATTTGCTCATGTTCAGTCAGATTTCTAAGTGTCCGTTGCTTCTGGGTTGTTTGACAAAAAGACGTTTTTCATCATCTTTGTGTGTGTTACATTTGTTACTCTGTTGACCATCGGCGTATTGTCTTCTTTCATTCCAATTCTATTTTGGGGCCCTGACTTAAATCCATTCTTTGCTGAATGCAAAGATATTAGTCAATACTTTCATTGATATCATCTTGGTCTGAGCTGTCAGGTTTATTTGGAAAGTTCATAGAATGATCTTGTGATCTTTGGGTCAGTTTCTTGCCATCTCCAAAAAAACCAGTCTTGTTGAGTCTAGGTTCAGGGAAAACTAATATTTACTGACGCAATTGCTTGAATATTCAAAGCACCCTTTATTTTTGCTTTACTTGATTGGCTGGTGGGTGGTTGAAGGTGGAGTGCTCTGGTGCAGTTTGTTCCTTCTTCCCTATCGCACAACTATCATCTTTATCTCTCCTTTTTTTGCGTTTGCTACTCTCTTGTAACAGCTGTAACAAATGCTCTAAAACTCTTACTAACATTTACCAAGATGGAAGACCGCTGTTTCTTTCTGTGAAATGATACACAATTTTTGCGATCCATACTTTTACATACAGTTGGTTTATACCCTTAGCATACACGTAAGTCATGGGTGGTTGGAGGGCACCACTGGTAGGTTCTACTTCTTTTTTGTGCTTCTCTTGCTTTTGTCTGTCCATTTTGTTTTTTACCACCCCTGTACGACCATTATAGTATTGATGAGCTTCCATTGTCCAGTATGAAACTAATGCGGGATGTCTCCTTCATTTGTTTTTTTGGTCTTTCTTAAGTTTTATTAATATCCACTGGGAAAATGTAGTTGCAAAATACAACTGTAAAATTTAAGAAGTCGTTGAAAGTTTTGAGAAGAGAACAAAAAGAACGTACCATTTGATATTATCCTTTTGTGTTGTCATCCTCGTAAAAAATATTAGTTTTGTCTTATTGTTCTTCACTTTCATGTCATTCTGTCTTATTGTACTGTGTACCTGAAAACGGCTGACTCTTTGGCGTAAGTAACCCGGACTGCTTGATCATCACCATGTTTTTAGTTTATGTGTCCATTTATTTGTTGTTGACTTTCTTTTATTTTCACACCTATCTGTTATCAATCAGATGTTTGCAAAAAAACAACAACAAAAAAACAAACACCTTTTTAAAAAATGAGATTATCATCAATACCAAAGTTTTGTTCACTGCAAACCGTACCCTGACAGTGTTTGTGTGAATGATGGGAACCATGAATAGCAGTGTTTCCCCTGGATCTGCCCCTTTTATTATTGTTTGTAGACATGTGTATGTGTTGGCTGTTGTTAAATTAACTTGTCACTACTTTTTTTTGTCTAAATATCTAGCTGCTGGAGGTAGTATGAACATAAAATTCGTGTTGTCCTTATTTGTGTTTTTGCTTTTGTTATTTCTGCATCACTCCTTTTATTCCCTTTGTTGTATATACAATTTTAATATGTGTTGTCGAGTTTTGATACTTGATTAAACTTGATTTACTCCTGCTCATCAATGTTACTGAGAAATCAGTGACACGATGACAGTAGTTGGTAACTGGTCATTGTACGGCTTCTTGCATGTGGTAGACAGTCGAGATACAATATATGTCATATGTTTTATGAAAATGATGTTTTGAAACCAGAAGCACTGGACTGGTTTGAAGAAAGGTTGACTTTTGAGAGAGGTTGAAAAAAGGATAGCTTTTTTAGTGTTTTGTACGGAGCAGAGGAGTGCAGCATGTTTTTGATTTTTTGGTCACTTTTTTAAGGAGGAAAAATGCATGCTTGGAAGAGGGATGCACTCCATGTGCTTTCAGTATCCTTTCATTGCTTGACCTCAAGCTCAGATATATCTCATCCGAATTCTACAATTTTTGTGTGTAAAGAGTCAGACTTTTCTGGTGTTGCAATTAAGTATTGATGTTACAAAAGATATGCTTCGATTTTGTTCTCTTGAAAAGTTTTTAGAGGATGCCTCCCTCTTTATATCCAAAGATTTTCATACTTGTATGGAATAGCGGTTGGTACACACCTACTTTGGATTGAGTTTCACTCATAGGCCTATTTTCAAACCAAGTTTAGGTTCCCTGCCTAATGCTAGAATGATGACTTTCTCCAGTTAGGACTGATAATTGTGCCGAGGAAAGCTCAGATTTTCTTTTGACATTAATTGCATGCTGTTAGATGAGAAGAACACAGCAGCATGGGTTTTCTTCTTTCAGTTTTTTCATGGGGAAAAAAGTAAGAAGTCAGTATATAATAAGAACTATTGGAGCTGTGAAGAACTTAATATTTTTTTTGGTACGACTTCCCTTTTCCATTCTGAATCTTCAGAATTATAATTATATAGCCCAGTCAAAGTTTGAATCTATTTGTGGACTCAATGTCCAGTTTATAAAATTCTTGATATTTAATGCAGCTTGAATATATTTGTCATATCTTCAACTACCAAAATGATGTTGAATTTTTATGTTAAATCCAATTTTAGGAGCTTTTTCTTTGTGGCTTGTTCATTGCAAGCAGAATTTTTTAAAGTTAACTTCAACAAAGCTCTGGATATTTATAGTCCATTGTTACTTATTTAGTACCTGTATTGCAATTTTCAAAATGAAATGTGTCAACTCTGAATTTGACATGAGTAAAATAAGATCTTAGCTGACCCTCTGGTGGCTTTTCCAGTCTTAGTCCTTTATTCACCGCTTTCTTACCTTCCCATGGGTATGCCTTGGATTTTAAGGCTAAAGTCAGCTCCCTGCATGCTTTTTCTCTACTTTACATGTGAATGGTATAGTTGTTCAGCAGTACTAATTAATTTGGTTGTGGCCAATGTTGCTTGAGTTTTACAAGTTAGCGTTGTTGATGTTTGCATTCAGATTGCAGTAATGGAGTTTTTGTATACATGACATGTCCTGGCATGTTTCATTTTGTAGGAATTAGAAGCATGCCATTCATTAAAAAAATACACCATTAGAAGTTAAGCAGAAGACCTGAGGCAATAGTTCTTTTCGAGAATGTTTGATTTTAAAAGATAGCCTAAGACAGAGGACGGTTTGATATTTTGCTGAATTTGAACCAAAGTCACATTAAAAAGTCCTGCAGTATGTCGCTGTCATGAAAAACATTACTTCTTGCTCAAAGCAAATACAGTAGTCTCCGTCTAAGATCCCGGTGCTTGGGAGCAAGGAAATGCGGGATCTTGGGCGAACCGGGAACTTAACCGACGGACCCAGGGAAGAATCTATGATGACCCATGCTAAGGCTCACAATCTGTAAAATGGTCTCCCTCCATTCTAAAATGAACTGACGTGACCGTTTGGTGGGTTTATGACGTATGGCGAGCAAAAAGTGGTTAACCTTGATGACCTATCACAGTGCATAGTGGGATGAGGCGTGCCATTTTCACTTATTATCCTATCATGAGTCTCAAGATCCATGCTTATCCAGTTGCCCCTCTCCCTTACCTGTCAAAAATTTATAGCTTTCCATCTTTGACTGTCCCCCCCCCCCCCCCCCCACCGCCTTTGTCGTTAAACACCATTACGTTGTGAACACACCAATTAAAATTCAGTCTGTCTCGCAAATTCGGGAGTAGACAACCTCTGCAATGATCAGGGAAGAGTTCACAGTTCGATGTGATCCCGCATGGAGCGAATGTGTAGGCCCTACCCACCCAGCGAGTGATGTAAGTTTAGGTGGAGAGCTCAGGTGTGAATGCGATGTTGTGGGAGAATAAACGTGTCGGTCAGTTCACACCCCGGTGTGATCCCATCTGGGGCAAACATTGTATCACTTCATCGAGTTTTAAACGTGTATGTGATCGCATTCACTATAGTGGCTGATCTTTGACGCGACGGACAGTTTATTGATCTCAACTTTTCACTCTTGGTTGAGCGGCTGTCCCGCCCGGGCTTTTGTTCCGCAAATTATGATCTGAAATACGGAATCTTAGCCGAATGTAGACCTTCAGAGTGAATCAGAGCGGGATCTTAGGCGTGACTTTTGTATAGTAAAAATTCTGTTCTTTTAAAACAGCGGGATCTTAAGCGAACCGGGATCGTAAGCGGTGGGATCTTAGACGGAGACTGCTGTACAACCATTTAATTTTCAACTTCCTGAAATACCAGTCACTAGCTGTGGAATGCATGTCAAATTTTATCTTTCTGTTTAATAATGTATGGGGAAAATAACAAACTGTAAGAGGATAGGAAAGCTGACAACAGCCTACTCCTCTTTAATTCATGTTGCAGCTTTTCCGTCTCCCAAAACAGCAGTTATTTTTTAGGATGCCACTTTGTGTGAAGATATATAATATCCCCCTCTTGACTGTATTACAGTTCCCTTCACCCCGGCTTCATGTTGATATGACTCTACCCCCCCCCACCCCTTTTTTTTTGTTGTTGTTGTTGCTTTTTGTTCTGTTCAAGCTGTAAATGTGGTGACATAGAAACATAAAAGAGGTGCACCTTGAATTAGAGTTCATGGTCTTACATAGCCCTTCACACCCTTATGTAACAATAATAGGGGCCAACTAGTTACTAGCAGTAGCTTTATGAACTTTAGTGCAGCACAGGCCCCTCTGCGTGTCCTTGCTTACTCTTGAATGTTTAATAATTAGTCCTTTATTATAGGATTTTTTGTTAACTGAGAACATTATTTTTAATACTTTTTTCTTACTGAATTTTGGATATTCAAAATAATTTTCCCTTTTGTGTGCTTTTATGTAAATTTCAAGGGTGGGGTGGGGGGGGGGGGGGGGGGTGCTGCCATTTTATAATTATGTGATAATTGCGTGGAGACAAATGTTATCTTTTTTTGTGTATCATACTTAAAATCTTTTTTATTCCCAAATGTCATCTAGTATCGGCTTTTAAAGCTTCTTTTTGTAATTGTTTTTACCCAGGGTCCAATGTTACAGAGGAAGAATTGAGAGTGGCTGAGGACAAGTTTGAAGAATCTAAAAATCTTGCAGAAAATGCTATGCATAATGTATTAGAGAATGAGGTTTGTTGGTTTTTTATCTTTTTTCTGGTACAAAGTATGCTTCTCACCTTCTTTCAAGTTGTTGTTCCTCCTCTTGTCTTGTATTTTTTTTTCTGCTGATCTGTCGCCGTTGGATTTTTGTGGGAGGTAGAGCATTGTTTTCCTGTTGTGGACTGCTCGTTTGTGCTTTTTTCTCAGCGAGCTTTTGTCATTTCAGTCGATATCCTACAAGGAAGTGAAAACGTTGGCAAGATTTATAGCGTTTCCTGTTGCCAAGATGGTCCCTTCTTTGAGTATTTGAGTTCTCCTAAACTCTCTGTGACCATTTGTCATTGGTTAGTGACTGTTTAGCAGCTATCCCCCATATGTGGAAGCCATTTCCATGTCTGCTATCTGTGTTTGGTGCAGGGACCTGCACTATACCTCTAGAAGGTAGAGGGTGACCAAGAATAACTTACTTGGTGTGTGTGTGTGTGGGGGGGGGGGGGGGGGGGCACTTTGGTGTGGTTTGCTCCTTCTTTCCTACCAAACATCTATTGTCTTTATCTTTTTCCTACTTCTTTTCTTTGTATGTTGCTTTCTAGTAACACATCTGATCTTTGGCACTTACATGCCCTTTTTGTATCGCAAGTGCTGTAAGACCTTAAACAAAAACTAGCTTAATAACTTTACTTAGAAAACTTGAATAGATGGCTGACAGTAAAGACCAGGACAATACACAGGGTTTTTATAAAGAGTATCTGAGTAGAGAAATGATCGGTGAACACTAATTGCAGATATCCGTCAGTCTTCCACCCCCCCCGTGGCTCCTAAATGTATCCAACTGTTTGAAATGAGGATTTGACGAAACTTTCTTGTATGTGCCCTGGGTATTAGGCTCTAACCGTTACACGTTACAGATGTGGGTTTGATTGCCATGAAGGAAAGTCTTATTTTATTGAGTGACTTTGTCTTTCTGCTGTCTCCCCCCATGTCCTCGTTGGCCCTTAGAGGCGAAGTCAAAGCAGCTGACCTCTGAATAATCTAAATTAAGTAGGCGGAGTAAGTAAAGCATTTACAGTAATAATTTACTGTAGTATCCTCATTCTTGCCTTTTTCACTCTTTTTTTGTTATCCTTGTGTTTTACCCTTCATTTATTTGCTTCAGTACATCAACCTTATGCTTCATTTTGACGAAAGAAATCAAGATATGCAACTATTTACTGACAAAAAATAAGCAAATGGTTGGAGGGCGTTTCTATTGTATGTGTCCTTTTCGCTAACCCTCTGGTGCCCCACTCCGTTTACGTAGGTTTTATATGCATGGTATTGTGATCTTTGTTCAAGTGAAGCCTGAAAGAAATGCTGTTTATGGAAATGTTATTTTCTTCCCTGTGCCAGTGTGTTGAATATCTTGTGAAAAACATTAATTACAGAATTGTGTGTTCTGTCGATTGGCTTTGGAAGAGTGCATTATTGTGTTTCTTTGCAGGTGGAGTACATAAGCCAGTTACAGGCGTTCATTGAAGCTGAAGTAGATTACCACAGGCAAGCTTTGAATGCACTTCAGTCTTTACTGGAGTCTCTAGATGAGAAGTGAGTATTAATACTTTTTAAAAAAATTCCTTTTTTACAAAAAAAAATGTGTACTTACTGAGAACTTGTTTACTATTGTATATGCTTTAACCTGGTCAGACCTAGTCTCCTGATCCTAAATGACCTATATCATATGTGACCTCCTAAGCGAAAGCATGCAAGAATGCATGTGGGTTATGGAAATGGTGAAACCAAGCATGTTAAAAAATAGAAACATTGGAAACCTTGTCGCAGTGCTTTTCAAGAGATTTTTTTTTTGGTAAGACCTTTAAGGCGCTCGCAACTGCGGAACCTTGAATGACAGGTGAACACTGTACCTCAGACCACGAGAGCCCCCTGATTACAGGACATATGCTTTAACCTGGTCAGACCTAGTCTCCTGATCCTAAATGACCTATATCATATGTGACCTCCTAAGCGAAAGCATGCAAGAATGCATGTGGGTTATGGAAATGGTGAAACCAAGCATGTTAAAAAATAGAAACATTGGAAACCTTGTCGCAGTGCTTTTCAAGAGATTTTTTTTTTGGTAAGACCTTTAAGGCGCTCGCAACTGCGGAACCTTGAATGACAGGTGAACACTGTACCTCAGACCATGAGAGCCCCCTGATTACAGGACATTTACGAGGGCTGTCCCACGGAAAACCGGAAAAAGTCCGTATAAGCAACAATCTTTGTCCTATTATGATAAAAATGTAACAGATCATGCCTCAATATGTGCTTTATTTCTCAATGTAATCACCATCCCGCTGGACGCATTTTTACCATGGCTGGATCTGGGAGAAAGTACCCTCCCTGAAGAATTTTTTGTCAACGGATTTCAACCAATCTTTCACGGCTTCCACGAGGTCTTCGTCGTCGGTGAATCGCTGTCTAGAAATATGGCGTTTCATTGGTTCAAAAAGCTGATAATCTGACGGGGCCAAGTCAGGACTGTGAGGGGGGTGTGGTAGAACTTCCCAGCCGAACCTTTGGATCCAGTCTTTCGTAGCTTTTGCGGTGTGAGGCGTTGCGTTGTCATGTTGCAAAATGACCCCACTGGTCTTTTTCAGCTCTTTTAAGACCTATCGAGCAGAGACATTTCAATAGTCAGCTCATCAAATACTATCCTATGGACAGTCGACTTAAAATGTTTAGCGACTCGCAAATTTTGCGAATTTTTAGGCGCCTGTCTGTTGAATGAGTTCGTTAACGCAACTTTTGTTGTTCTCAGTCTTGGCAGAAAAACAAGGTCCTGGGTAAACTTTGTCATTGATATCTGTGTGCCTGGCTTTGAACTTACTACATCACTCATTTACCTGTGATTTTGCTATTACTTTCTCCCCATAAACTAACTTTATTTCAGTGTGTATTTCTATAGGTTAGAGACCTTTTGCGGTCAGAAACCGAAAGACAGACCTCACTTCTACCCTTGACCTATTTTCCAAGTGGGTAGCCTTCTTTGGAGAACTGCTGTATTCGTTTGGTTCGTGCGATGCTCATGGTGCTCAATCGGGAAATTCCTAAATGATTGTTTTACAAGTGTGCGTTTACAGAATGTGAAAATATTGAATGGTTTTCAAATTACAGCCAAATTCCGGTTTTCCGTGGGACAGCCCTCGTACCTTCAAACTAATGACATTGTTTTCCTATTGTATGCTATTTATTAGTCTATTGTGAATTCTTCTTTTTTTTTTGGGTCAATGTTTTACGATGCTCACACCTGCATAAGGTCATATGAGCGCGTGGGACAAACCAAACATTTTCAGTAGGTAGGAAATTTTGAATTTTGCCCAAGCGGCTGCCGAAACCTTCTCTTATAGAATTTTGGCCACCAAGGGATCTTAACATGCGCAACTTGCACACGGGACCTCCGAGATTCTTCGCACTTGTCCGAGAAGGCTAGGTGTAGATCTTTCTTACCAGAAGATCAGGGGTGTGGCTGAAAGACAGCAGTAAGAAGGAGCCAAGGAGTAGCAGTAGAAAGGCTCCAGAAAGAGTCAGGATCCCAGAGGAGAGGGCAAAGGAGGTGGGGGCAGAAAGTGGAGACGAAAGCAGACGACAGAACATTGTTAAAGAGCAGGAAAGGAGGTGAAAATGTCGCAAGCCGGATTTAAACCGGGACCGTTGAATGGAGAGGCAAGCACCTTAACCTCTAGGCCATGAGAGCCCCCCCAAAATATGATTAAGACAGACTCACCCGTTTAAGAGATATTTGAGGTTAAGTTGTACCTGAATTTTTTACCGCACTATAGACAAGTGGCATATAACTAACAGATTAGACCCAGTCCTTTCTCCTGCTGAAGTGTTTGGTTTGTTTCCAACTCGCTCCATGATAAAGTGGATTTGGGTTTTCAAAGAAAAGCAAGGCTGTATTTATATTTTATGGAGTCTACCATTTGCAATAGGGTCAAGGACTGACATTCAAACTTTTCTTTATGCATGACCCAATTTGCTCAAAACTGTTGCCTTTTACAGGTTGACCAGGAATCTGACACAGCTGAGTGTCTTTGTATATGTATTCCCAGTAAAATATGCTTTAACTAGGTTAAGATAAATTAGTTTATTGAATTGACACTCACAACTGAGAGAAAGCCTTTGAATATTTCAAGATGTGTTAGTTTAAACTGACGCACAGTGCATTTTTGTTAATTACTTTAGAACATTGTTAAGTCTTCATGATGTGTCAAACTTATTACTTTCATTTTTGCATTTATTTTGACTTTGTAGTAGAGATTGAAGAGATTTTTTTCCCTGTAGGACCTGGATAATTATATATAATAAATAAACCGAAAAGTGTGTTCTAGTTGTTTATGTCCTTGAATTTTAAAAATATTCTAATTTTATTTTAAAATCACCAGGCGCAATGAAGCAGCAAGTCGTCCACGATCTGAGCACATACCGAGACGTGTAGGCTCTGTGCGGCGCAGTGAGTCCCCCAATTCCTATGATGGACCCAATGATGGCCCCAATGATGGCTATGACATGGGTGGGAAGTCAGGCAGCTATGCATTTAACAACATCCAGACACCATCTTATCACCAGTCAGGTAAGATTCTGTTTGAAATGTATGTATATTATACACTAAGGTATTTTTTATATCCTTAAAGGCTCTAAAAAGACTAATTTACCTCAAACATTGGCTAAGTTTGTTACTCACCCCTCTTAAAGAATGTAGCAGAATTTAAAAAAAAAACCCTTCTCAATAAATTCTGCGACTTGATCCATCTCATAGTTTTTGAATTTCACTTGTCAGGTTTTTTAAAGTTAAATTTTTTTACAAAAATAATGTGAAATGTAACTGAGAAATTTTTGTATATTAGATACTGACATGGTATGCGTTTGCTTAATACACTACAATGAAATGCTAACTTATTGTTTTTGAGTAGGGACAGATAGAATTTTTAACGAATGTAAAAGTTAAGACCATTTCTGTTATCAGGCACAGAGTACTGTCTCCGAGTTGTATCCATATCCTGGACTTTTCTACATCACTCATATCATATAGCATAGGTGTATGCAGGTGTGTCTATCGCATGACATTAACCCGTCTCTCCAAGTGTAGTTTGTTGTCGAAGTGTGCATTAAGCGACATTAACAATTTCTCAAAAGGTCCAAAAATAAGACGGTGAAGGAACTTCTTTTTAAAATTAGAAATAAGCAACTTTATCACTAGTTTTTAATACAGAGTGGCTAGTCGCCCGATCTGGGGTTGCCAGAGCTTTGCTACTCGAACGAATTCGGTCAATTAGGTTGACGCTACTGGTCCGTGACGATTTCTGCGCATGTTGGTGGGGAACGATTAACCTGCAGCTTCTGGCCCGTGGGGATTTCTGCGCATGTTCCATTTAATCGCGTGATCAATTGCGCAAGATTCAGTCACTCAGTCACTCCTTGTCCTCCATGTCAAAAGTCGGATCGGTACAACTTCCCCCATCTACCTAACTTTTCTCCCAGTTTATCAGTGGCATTCACTGGATATATTAACACCAAATATGGTTGGATTTCCATTCTGTTTCTCCCTGAATGCATCTACAAAGAGAACAGTACCTCAGAAAGACGAACTTTTAGGAAAGGCTCATATAGATCTAATAGTCTTGTCAGATTACTGGTTACATTTCTTACGCAAAAATTTGACTCTGACTGCAATGATCTGACCAAATTGACATTATTATATTACATGTATGAAGATGGGACTGGCCATAATGTGTACAATAATGACTGTATTGCACCGGGTCAGCTTGTGAACCGACGCAGACGGAAAATGACAGGAATCAGTAATTCTGATAACAGGAGACCCCCCCCCCCCCCCCCCCTCTTTCTCTCTTTCTCCCTCTCTCTTTCTCGTTCTCACTCTCTCTCTTTCTCTCTCTGCCCGCAGACAAAATTTCTCGCTTTCTACTCAGTGCTGGAACGTTGTTTGTTCACACTCGTATCACGGGCCGTCACGCGCTAAGACGAGGTAGATCTAGCGCCCAAGTCTCGTTCAGACGCGAAATAGGGCAATTGAAACATCTTAGTAGTAGTTACACAATCTTTGATGACATCACGACGCTGCATTTCTATTGTTAGTAACTTTGTCACCGGCATTCCGATGAATGATAATAATTAAATAATAAAAGGTGGTAGATCTAGGGGACCCAGTCAACTCTGGAGGGAAACTCGGAAGACAACAAAAATAGATGGCGGAAAAACATCATCTATGATCTATTTTGGCCCAATCACAGAGGTGTCTAGATGCTCTCAATGTCAATAACTTCATGTCGCTCTGAAGGCCGCAAGGCCGTGTTTACGCTACCTAAGACTAAGGCTAGATCTAGGTGACCGGCTCCGAGTGGGCAGAAAAATGCCAGCCACCTGAGGTCACAGAAATCCTCACGGGCCAGTAGCGTAAGCACGGCTCACCGGCAGTGGAATTTTAATTGCCGCGGGGGGTTCCCCTGCCGGGCTCCTTATCACGTCGGGGTCACGAGGGTCAGCTCCCTGTGGCCGCTCTGTCTGGGCTGACCTATTTTTTGGTACTTTTCAATGTACAATTTAAGGTGTATCCTTGTATTTATGGTAATTCTCATTTAGTGCACCCAAAGCACGCATTTTCTGCTCTTGAGACTCAAAAAAGAATGTACGTTGTAACTTGTCTGGTTATTTCGTTAGACGCGCTGGAGTCGGCAATGCTAAATTGTAATTTTTTTTTGACTAGCGTGAATGAAAAAAAATCAATATAAAAAACGGCATCGTCAAAATCTGTCGAAATTTTGGAACATGAACGATATAACATTGGTGCAGATACTCAGAAAAGATGGTATCTGCGCATATAATAGAAGGCTGTAATTTTACAATTTTATCCATCGGGCACACAATTCGCTATGAAGTAATTCCTCCAAATACAACTTTATGTGTCTAATATAATCATGAATATTCGCATATTTTCTCGAAAGTTTATAAAAGTTATCATGAAGTTTCTCTATGAAAAGTACAAATCGATTTTAGTGCTAGAATACATCTTCAACGTAGATCTAATACACGAACAGTATCTGTTACACTCCAGAAATTCCTTACTTTTCTTAAAACGCTAAGTCTAGGTTTTGTAAGTTGACTAAATAATAGGGATGACTTCTCGTAATTGGGTTATAAGAATAATTTCTAGCTTTCCAGGGACACCGAATCAGCACCAGACTTTTCCAGCTTTTTTTTTCGTTTCTATGACCATTTGCAATAACTGACAATGTAACTGATTTCTTTACATTCAAAATTGTGTCCACGCATATTTCCTACACAAAAACTAAGAAAGAATGTTTTAGCTATCATATTTTTATTCCATACAAGAAGTTTATCTTTACCCATGTATTTACATGGTTTTGTGGGGTTTTTTTATCGCTTATATATTATATCTTTTTAGTTGTATGCAGGCTGTCACAGACACAGCATGATTCATGAACAAACGCAGAGTAACTTTCTCTTGTTTAATAGTAAAATAAGAGCTAACGCTGATTGTCTTTAGTTAAAAAATGCAGATGTGCATCTTTCTTCTCTTATAACTTGACTATTACTACTCGCGCAGATTTAAGATTTCTCATGGTAAAAGACATGATATTCGTAGTCAGTTTAACACCGATTTTGGAGAGATCTGTCGAGCCCTTTTTAAATTAACAATCATTTATTCATAAGTTTGTAACTAAAATAGGACAAATTGGGTACTTTACAAACACTTGTCTAGAACACAAACTAAGACACAGAAACTAACCATTCTAACGCAGAATAAATCTCAAGACATTGAGCTTTTAGTACATCCGCGTAATGGTTTGCTATGTGGGATGGGGAAGAAGTTATATCGTTTTAAACATAGTCAAAAATGCGAAGTTCCTGACCGACACCGGCAAAGTCGCTTCAGGGCTCATTAACCCCGTGACCCCAAGCGGAGGAGCTCCGGCGGGCTGCTGAGTCACGCTAACTAAAAGTAACAGAATCGGGCGAAAAGTGACGCCGTGTAAGGCTAATTGACCGGATTCTATCAAGTAGCAAAACACTAGCCACCCTGGATCGGGCGACTAGCACCGGCCTTTTTAATATCTGTGCCCCAGGTATTTGGGCGAATAAGAATTATTTTTGAATATTTTGCTATAATTTTTCTTTTCCCTGTACAACATTGAATGTATTTCTTTCCCCGGTGCTCACCTTGTAGGCTATGACCAATATGATGACCAAGATCCTTTTGGATCTTATGCTGGTAAGACTCTAATCTGAAAGATCATTAATTCTCACCAACAAACGTGGACATAGATTAGATTCTAAATATTGCATCATCTAAGACCAGATCCATTCAATGACTGGTGAGAATTGTGCTCATTAATTGTACTCAATGTGGTATATGGTGACTGCATTTGTGTTAACTGTACTGTTTTTTTGTGTGAATTTTACTTTTTGTGTAGAATTGACTTGCCTCTTCTCTTTCCCCATGGGCATTCTAAGAAATATGCTTGAACTCCTTTACCAAATGAGGGCTGGGTTGTCAATGAAAGGAAAAGTCTTCTAGACATCAATGGAATGGGTTTCTTGAAATTTGAGGCACAAGAGGTTGTTTAGTAGTTTCAAGTGTACTTTTCTTCATTTTTACGTTTTCAATAGCTATGTTTTTATTAGTCTTTGGGTTTTTTTTTTCTTTTTGTTTTTTGGTAGCTTTCCTTAGTATTGAGCTGTCCCCGTTGTTTTATGCAAGAAAAAAATTCAAATTATGCAAGCTGAACCCAAAAATGTGAAATTATGCCATTCTGTTAATTTACACACAGAATGATAAAGGAAAATAATCAGAAATTATGCAAAAAATGATTGAATTTTGTTAAACTATGCGGGGTGCTTAAAACGACGAGGACAGATTGAACTGTGATTTATTTATTTAAAAGAATGGTGGAGCAGGGAGAGGGAGAGGGAGAGGGAGAGGGAGAGAGAGAGAGAGAGAGAGAGAGATCTCCTAAGGTTGCTAGGTAGGTGTTTTTACAATATTTTGAATGGTTTTAATTAACCAGGTATTGTACAGGTGGTGGGGAAGGGGAGAAGAGTTGCTGCCTATAGAAGTAGAAAGTGAAAGTAATACTAATAGTGGTGCACTTGCTTGAATGAATTATGTGGCTTTTTAAAAAGTGTTTATTGATATGTGTTTTCTTGAATAGTTGTTCTTCGTAGTGGTACTGTAATGTGATTAAAAGATTTTAGAAAGATTAAATGCCCTTTTCTCCACCATAGTTATGACTTCTTCTGATTGGCTGCTCTTGCACACCACTTGATTTAATTATTTTTGATGTCTTGGATTGAATGATTGCATCATATTTAATTGCAAATATAATTATTAGTATGTGGTTTATTTTAGAAAAATTTCTACTGTTTAGACATTTTGCTAGAAATTTAAGTGAAATATGTACATAAGGAGGGTTGGGTGATTCTAACGCTGATTCGGAATTTGGAATTCTGTTTGAAAGAGGTTTTTCTCACATAGGCTCATGCTTTGACTCTCTTCCGTGTACTTTTCTGCATGTCTTAAGCTGCCCTTCTTCCTTTTACTTTGTTAGCTTCTGTGTGTTGCATGATGTCCCAGCAGAGGTTTCTGCTTCCCATGGCTTCTTTTGATAAAGTGGGACTGTCAGTGTTATATCAGAATTGTTTTGTTTTAACAGACTGAAGTTGTTTATGAGTCCAGTCAAAAAACAGGCTGGCTTCATTGGGTGGCAGTGTGCTTTATTTTGTGTTGATGTGTGAAACCTTTACTATGTGGACTTAATTGCCTTGAATTTTAATTTTTGAAAAGAAAAAAATGCATGTATGTACGTTTGCATGTGTATCATGGCTCCTCTGTCTATTAATTTAACATACCATGGTTCAGTGGAATGTTTTGCCAGTGTGTTGGTATTAATGGAGAGAAGGAGGAGGGGGGGGGGGGAAGAACTGATAAGGAAAGTAATGCCAGTGCTTCAACTCATATACTTAATTATGCAGTCATAGTGTAGTTTTGGTGCTCATATGACCTTATGCAGTTGCGAGTGCCGTAAAACACTTACTAAAACTAAAACATAGTGTAGTTTTGGCTTTAAATTTTAACTTATTACAAAATTTTGGTTTTGTCTCTTTTATTTGTCAGTCACAAATAAGGGTTAAAAGATCTTATAAGTGGAATCCTCTTTTTTATCTGTTGTTCTGTGGGATGATGTTGCTCTCTGAAATGGAACAGTGTTTGATGTATGGCTCTCTGAATATTGCTCTTTTGTCTTTACATATCTTTCTTTGCTCTGGTTTGCTTGGTATTGTCCTTTGGTGTTAAATGTTGTAGATAGTGGAGTCGGTCATTTTTTTCAATTTCTTATTTTTTCTCATTCTTGTTTTATGATTTTGACCTAAGTTATTATGGTAAGTATTAATCACTCAGGCCAATATGATTATGAAAAATTGTGATCAGGATGGCCCCAAGAGTCCATTAGACTTTTGATGTGTCACTGCTTCAGGGACTTTGGCATCCTTTTCGAACTTGCTGTTTTATTCCTTCTTTTGAAAAAGTAAAGGTTTTGGGGAAGTGCTGTGTGGAAAAAAACGTCATAGTTCCCTGTGAGTTTATGCCTGATGCAACTGGTTTATTTTTGGATGCTATTTAGCTGTGGTTAGCTGAATTTAGCAGTATTGATATGGCCTTTAGATTGAAGCCGGTTTTGTTTTCTTGTTAAAAAAAAATGTTTTGTTTGAAACTGCATTGTTTTTAAAAGTATAGTTTTTGCATGCATTTGTTTTTCTTTTATTATCTCAGTTCCAGACACCAAAAAGAAACCAACAGTTCGTGCTTTGTATGACTTTGTGGCAGAAAATGATGGAGAACTGGGCTTCCAAGAAGGTGACATGATTGACCTGATCAGCCAAGTAAGTTGGACAGTTTTTCTGAAATGTGATATGTAAAAAGGTATCTTTGATATCATACAGTTGAACCTGTCCATAACAGTCATTTGAGATCACAAAGAAAAGAGATTGTTGTGGAGAGTTGGCTGCTGTGGACAGGGTCTGAGTTATAGTTGCTCACTGAAAGTATGAAAATGAGCACTCATGTAAACCATTGTGGAGAGTTGGCTGCTGTGGACAGGGTCTGAGTTATAGTTGCTCACTGAAAGTATGAAAATGAGCACTCATGTAAACCATTGTGGAGAGTTGGTTGCTGTGGACAGGGTCGAGTTATAGTTGCTCACTGAAAGTATGAAAATGAGCACTCATGTAATTAACCACCACCACCAAAAACAACACAAAGGTCAAAGCCAAACTTTCCCTTCTGAGTTTCTGACATTGTGCATTTTAATTTTATTTTATCATTTGTGTCTCGGCGTGATGGAATTAGGCGCTTGTCAATTTTTGAGCATGTGAAGTTATTGGATTCATCTGAAAGCTGGTTTATTTATTTGCCTTGCTTCCAATGAAATAAATATCCATTTACCTTGAATAGAACTCAAGATATTTGTGATTGAAGGAAGTGAAGTCGCCTGGTTTCAGTGGTGAAATTAACAAGAAAATAGCTGCCAAAGTGTGGTAACTCCAATAGCTAAAGAGTCTTTGAAAACTGAAAAATGATATATTTTGTGCCTTTGATCAATGTTTTTCAGTAAGACTAACTTTGAAAAGGGTTTTTATATGAACATAAAAGGTTAAACCAAAAAATAAAAATTATATAGAAATTGCCAAACTGTCTGAAAAATGCCTCTTTCCGGATTTCGTTATTTTGACGAGCACCTGATCTCATCACGCCGCCTCATTTCTATTCCATTAAAATTATAATTAGTATTATGAGATTTTTCTAAAAGAAATACTGCCAGCAGTCTCATATAGTGGCCGTTCATAAGATAAAGCAACGGAAAGAAAACAAATACAAAAAAGCCCCAAAAAGCCTCAACCCAAGTATCTGATGGCTAATGTAAGACTGACGCCATACTGCCTATCATATGACTGCATGATGTTTACTGAAGTCGGCAGCTGTGGGTTATGAGGCAGCTAAGGGGTTAATTGGTTACAACACATGCGCTTCCCGTCCATCATATAATCTATATAAAGACATGACCTCTTACTTAAAATGATAAGCTCTCATAGGATGTTTGCTCTCTTTATTCAAAACTTTGTAGCCGCTGAGATATCAGCTTACAAATCATGGGTTTTAACCTCTGTATAAGATATATGAGGCGAGCTGACAAAACGAGTTACTTCTCGCAATCCACAAGTGGAGATATTAGCCAAAAATCGACACTAGGGTCAAAAGTTGTAGATTTTCTATTGATGCCATATTCTTTAAGTATGCCTTTTATTATTTCATACTTATAAATTGTAAAAACTTCACCTATAAGTGTGATTTATCTATTTCTAAAGGGCTCGAATCCGAGAAGAAACTCATTTTGTCAGCACGCTTCATATATATTTACAGAGCATTGGGCAGCAGATTATCATTTTGCACGAGGTACATTTACAGGGCAGTCAAGGGGTTAATACAGTTGACCGTTATTGGGAGGTGACTGCTAAGGCAGTTTTGACTATCTGCAAGTTGGAAAAATTATGATTATCGAAAAATGAAAAAGAAGAAAATGTTTTATTTTGTGCTTTTTCAGAAATCATTGTGCATTTTCATTTTTAACTTGATTCACTGATGTTGACAAACTTGGACAAGGGCCATGAAATTAATGACATCATGTAATTCTGTATTTAAGGTTGATGAGAACTGGTACGAGGGCAGTCTCCACGGTCAGGCTGGTTTCTTCCCCATCAACTATGTGGAGGTGGTCAACCCTCTATGATCTGCTCAGCAAACAAGGGCTCTACTCCACCATATCCAGGCTTTTCCCCCCGCCAACTTATTGCCTTGTCTTTACCTCCAGTTTTATTTGTATGAAACCTGACTTTCATTTAGTGAGTCTTGAAAACCCATTGTTAGTGCATGCAGTGTAACGTTTAAAGTGTGATGCCTTTCTGTATATCTATGGGGAAAACACATTTTATTATTGTTTCGTTAGTCTTTTTTACTCTCTTATAAGACATGAATTGGGGCAAACAACACCTAGCCACTCTCAAAATTTAAGTGAAATGAACTAATTCTGAAACTTAACCATATGTGTTCATTCAGTATGCAAATGATAATTGTTTTTCAAGTAAATATGGGAAAAGTAAAGTACTCTAGCTGCAGGTAGCTTATTGAAATCAGGTGTATCACCTTTCTGCCAGTACAATAGAAGTTTCTTTGCACGTCTGTGGATGAAGAAATCCTGTGATCTGAGAAAGAATGCACTACAAATCTGACAGGATTCTTTTTCCCTGTGTAATGTCAGATGGACAGAAAGTAAAAGTTGTATGACTTTTCTGTAATATGCCCAGGAGCATGAATGTTGTTTATTCGTAAGAGGCTTGTCAAACAAATGGTAGTACCTCTGTGTGGTTAATATCCTCCAAATCTTGGTTTGGAGTTTGTTTCAGTTCCAAATTGCTCAAGAACATCACATCACCAAAATGAATGTCAATACTTTCATTCGTGTACTCATATGTGTTCTGGTGGTTCGAGAAGAAAGAGGTCTGCAGAAGCAATAGTGTCAGGCACATGTGAACAAATTGTTTTTATACAGATACTGCTGACACTTTTTTAGACTTGTTTTGTTACAACTGCATGCTCAGTAATTAGTGTGTTAGAGAGAAGGATGTACGAGTGTCAGTTTGTCAAAAAAGCGGGGAGCCTGCTTGATATGAGATATATAATTCTGACTTTTGTGTCAGGGCAAGGCATTCATATCGGAACACCTGTGGCCAGGCTGTTAAATGTTTAGAAAATTGAGCTGTGCTCGCTCTGCCTTCTTATTTGTGACTGCTAGACTGACTCAGTATCAAGTGTGGTCTTATCGGAGTCTGATGAACAATTGTAGGTTCCCCTGTGAGATACGCAAATTATGTTGAAAGCGGATATAAAAACTTAAGTGTATAAACTTTTTCCAATATCTTTGCTTTATGCTCTGCGAGCTGATCAAGCAAGTCCACATTATGAACTGTCCTGTATTCTGAATCTGTGTTTAGTCAGTGTAAAATGAGCTAGAGAAAATGGAAGTTGGAACCGTAATGTTGTGGTTTATTGCATGTTGTAATTGTTCAAGACTATTGCTTTTTTTTTGTTTCCATGTCTTTTGTGAAAGGATCTGAAAGCTACAATATCTTTATTAAACAACCATCTTTTCTACACAGACATACTAGTTCTTCGCTCGCAATCATACTACTGAAAGTAACATGTACACATTTGAAAAAGGAACTTATATTGTTATAAAACAAATCTCCTGTTATGATGGACATATGACATGAATTCTGCTTGATGTGTAAGGTCAACAAGACCAATAAAGAAGGCCATGAATGGTATTGCAAGAGTACTTCTTTGATAGCTTCATGTATGACATCAGGACAACACAAAGTTGGGATTTAGGTTTGTTGTGAGAACATAAATTAATTCATATTTACAATCTTTCCGTTTGTTTGTATACATTGTGACAGTTGACTGAAGCACCAGGAACTGTGTAAGAAGAAAATATTTTTGAATTGCTACAAATTACTGTCTTACACAGATGGATTCTTATGTTTTACTCTCCCTTTTTTACTATCTAAGAAAATTGGGAGTAGCTACCTAAATTTTCTACATTGTGGTGTTCAAAGTTACAATAAAATAAACAAAATATTTCTAAGAATCAATAGCGAAAAAGAAAATGGATCCAGTTTGCAGAAATCACTTGGTTTTGCTTTAAAGGTAAATTGAATACATCATGTACCAAAGTCCATGTATGGTATTGTATTTCACCCGGCATCCCTGAATATATCATTCATTGCTGGTCAAGTTCTGGTCAATATTTATTCAATATAAAGTCTATGTTCAACGTCAGTAGTTACAATGTCAACTGAGCTGATAATTCTTCACCGACCAAGTGTCATATGAACAAAAGGCAGGTTCTTTCTTGTGATTTAGTTTCCTTCATATCTTAATCTTTCATGTAAACATTTTATACTGCTGTTACGTTATTGTCTTATTTTTCCCCGAGGCTCTCTTGGCATTCCAAAATAATGTACTAATTTTCATATTATTTTACGCTTCTGTTACATCGATTTATAATTGAATTTGTTATCGAATAATAACTTGTTTACTTTCCTTGGTGCTTACCTTTTGATTACTATGTCAGGAGCAGTTGATCTATTCACATGTTCCCTCTCAAACAAGACCATAGGAAAAATATTGAAAGACCTGCAGACAGTAGATAAGTGAAGGGATGGCTGCTTTATGTTGACATTTGTGTTCATAGAGTCTAGGATGTGTAAACATTGTTTGGAGAATCAAAGTTTTAAAAAAGTGTTGTCTTAATTCTTTTATAAGTCCTGATTCACTATTATTTTAATATTCTCATCTTAGATTATTTGCCCTTAACCAGTTGCCATTTAAAATAAGTTAAAAATCACACGGAAGAGTGGTGCTTCCCAACGAGAAGTGCTGGAAGGTGCGGATAGATCTAAACCTTGAGGTAAATTTGCCAAAGTGTAGGAGTAGTTTGTTATGCTAGATCTACTCGAGTCACCAAAATATTTTGGGGATGCTATGGAGCCCAGATTTCTCCTAGTTTTTATTGGAACAAATCGATCTACGTGCAGATCTTCTATTACTTTAAAATCAGGGAATGCAATGGAGTTAGTTGAAACTTGGACTAATAAAAAATGAATACACAATAACTTGGCTTGTGGAGCGATCCTAACCAAACTTAATACATGTTGAATGTTCATTGAACAATCTTCTGCAATGCTATATTTTTTATTTTCAGGAAGAGTTAGAAGTTTGATGAAATTAATAAGTAAAGAGTGCAAATTGATAGTCGTAATTATAGAGGGAGAAATAGATAACTTGCTCATAGTGCACCACAGTTGATTATTTTGGATGGATTTTTTAAACACAGTGTATGGTATTTTAGGAGATTATGTCCCTTGCCCTAGGAATTCAGGGCGAGTATCAGGACACCTTCCTGGCCCTAAGGATAAATGGATTAATATAGTACTATGAGATTCCAAGAATGGAAGAATGTTTTTGTGTACGAGGGAAGCTAAGTGTTTTTGTGTCATTCTCTTTCTATCACTGTTTACAGAGGAAGATTGACTGTTATGAAAAGAATACTTTCTGAAGTTGAGAGATAAAACAGAAACGAGGACATGAAAATTTGTGCTGGTCAAGGTTTTACATCAAATTGCGCATTGGCTAATGTATTGTTTTGTACACATTCGTTGGAGAGTGATGATATATAGTTTAAAGCATATGCAATTATTCAAATGTATGCGTTCAATTCTAATTTTTGTTTTATGTTTTTAAATTTGTAGATCTTTTAGTTTCAATGTTTAAAACATCTATTTTTACTGATTTTGGTAGTTTGTGAATGTCATGCTTTGAAACTATTGGGAAAAAACCTTGAGAGATTTTGTTTCGGCATTATGTAATTTGCACAATTGTTTTGCACCTGAACTTGAATATATGCAGGTGATTATTATCTTTGTCTTGTGTTATGATCTGAATGAATTGTCAGTCTATGACTTCCTTTTTCCTGACATTTCAAGGAACATAATGGCAATTGGTTATCCAGTTGATAAAGTCCTCCTAATGTGGCTACCTTTTCAAAATGATTTGTATGCATGTGTTCTTTTTCTACTCTGACAATGTCCCACGATTGTGGCAGATGTCTTGAAATGACCTAAATAAGCACTGTATCTGTTAGTATAGATTTGTGTATAATATATATACATATTTATACATCACTGTTTACTACATGTTTTCTTCAACTGTGATAGGAGTGATAGACACTCTGTATAGATGAAAGAAAAAATTTAAAAAACCTCTTCAGACTTATTCTAGAATTAGTGATTGTGTCTGTTTAAGGACTTGGCTGTAGGTTAGCTTTTATGTTAGTTTTTTTTTTCACTCTACCTGAGGAATTATGTCACTGTTTAAACATTTGAGTACAATTTCACCTTCTATTTTAGTTTTGTGTGATGATTATTTCACCTTGTTCATTACATTTTACGATCTTCTTTGAATTTTGTTGATTGAGAGAAGTCTGATATATGTACGAGAACTGTTTGGTTGTTTTAGTTGGGTTTTTTTTTCAGTTCTTGTATTCAGTATTTTCTGAGATCTACTTCACAGAAGTTTTGTTTATTGCTACTGTGTGTCTTTTATGTAATAATTGTCATATAGTGAACTGGCCTGTCTGATATATGCCATCTGATGTCCTTGTGAATTTTCAAATCTTAAGTAAGACTGGTTGACTAAATTTACAATGAAAATCTGTATGAAATATGAATACATGCTGTGTGCGTTAAACCTGCTCAAATTGTTCATTAAAGAAGGAGAAGCTGAAGAAAAAACCCACCAAAATTATTGATTAGACAATCTATTAGTGTTAAAGCACCAGAGCGCATATTTCTGACACAAATTTCTGAAAGCGTAGGGTACTTTGTTTCATCCAATATGAGATGACTATGAAATGCCAGTACCTGAAATGTTTAGCCGGTTTATTTTAAAATATTCATTCAGATGGACATAGTGTTTGTTATCAGAAGTCAGAGTTCAGTTTTCAACTTATGTTGTTAACACACATTCTTTATAATTAATGTTCAGTTGCTTTTAGTAGCAGAGCATGCAGAGTATATACTGTAGGAATGACATGCATGGTGGTATTGATACTTCTGTCTTGTATTTATTTCACTACTTCTTGGTATGTCTAGCACCTTTCTTACTTCTGTGGTTTTGAAATTCTCACAGCTGTTATTCACATTTTATTTAATTTTTTGTTTTTGTAGTGGTAACTCATTGATTAGGCCATGGCGAAGATGGGGGCAGAATTTTGGTGTGTTTATTTGAGCTTATTTGCAAGGTTGTAATATTTTTTACATCTTACGATTTGGGAAAGAACTTCATCAGTGGCATGTACACAAACAGATTGATATATTATTTGTCCAGCATGCCATGTAGTGTTTACAAATGTTCTGTGTGGGGATGTTTCATTTGTGATACTTCACATAGCACAGTATGAAAGGTTGTTTTCTAAATGGATTTATTTTGTAGCAAATGAATCAGCATTATGACAATTGTTGTCAATATTGCTGGATAATTTTTTTATTTGCATCATTGAATTGCCAATAGTTTATTAGTTTACTTTATGTGCCTTTATTTTTGCTCTTTCGCCTTTCTTCTCTTTTCAGTTCATGCTCCCAAATCAGCCATATGAGCTGTGTCAGTGCAATTATTGTGGTCGGTATTGTAAAGACAGTGATGGGCATGTGCTCCTTTGGGCAAGTTGATGACAGAGTTGTTTTAAAGGAGATATTCCTGGATGGAGTTTTTGAAACATAGCAATAGTATATATAAAACTAGAGTAGTTCCTAAAGAAACTTGTGCTGTCCCAGACTCCCCCTTAATTCTGCTTGACCTCGTTATATCTTCTTTTTAGAGGATTGATTTTTCAGCCCAGATACTTCTCCGTTACTCCTTTCTTGCTACTTAGGTTTTTTAAAAATGTTTTGAAAAGTGACTGTGTCAATGTGTATTCTGATTTTTAAAACAAATGTATACTGTTGTTGTTATCAACCACCACTACACAGCAAAATATAGGACGAAGTCAACTAATGTGTGCATAATTAACATGTTTTACTTATTAAGTCTACCAGTAGATTAGCTTGTCTCATTGTTTTGAAAATAATTTCTTTCATTTCATTGTCTTTTTTTGTTTACTGATAATAATTTTTTTCAGTGTGTATACAGGGGAGATGACCAGACCGCATGTAAATAAAACATCTGGAGTTGCAGTATTTTGTTTGTGTTCATTTTTGTGCATGTGGTATGTGGACATCTTCTGTTCTTTTGACCTTTTAAGCAAAAAAATCCTCCAACGTAGAGGGTGACCTGATATTTCAAATTACACTTAAATTTTGTTAGTGTTTTGCATTATTGTGGTATGTGACTCCGTATAATGTCAAGTAAGCCATGAGCTCTGTCCGTTTAGAACAGTGTCATTAGTATTGTTTTGCAAATCTGAATAATAGACTTCACGTAGTTACTGTTTCTCCGTCTAAGTATTTATTTCTGTTTGATACCTCAGAGGTGTTGGAGGGTGCCCCTGGTAGCTCTTACTTCTGTTCTTCCTTTCTCATTTCTGTCAGTCTGCTCTTTCTCTCTCCCCTCCCCCCCACCTCTCTCTTTCTCTCTCCCCCCCACCTCTCTCTCTCTCGTTCTTTCACTCACATACACACACACGTTCACTCACAAAAATACACACTTACTAAAAAACTCACACATACACACCCTCCCTCCCTTCCGCGCTTTCTCCCCCTCTCTCCCTCTAATCCCTCCCCCCCCTCTCTCCCCTTCTCTTTCTCTCTCTCTCACTCTCTTTTTCTCCCACTGTTTTTTTTTGTTTTGATTCTGTTATTGTGTTGTGAGTGGTTCTCCACTTTCTACCTCTCCGATTGTCTCTGATTGTCTGTTCATACAGACCCCTTAACATCGGGCTGTCTAGGAGTTAAGGTAGGCGGGCACTGCATATGAACAACCTACGGTACGCTGACGATGAATACAGTCTGATTCTGAGTCTAAGCTCCAGGAGATTCAAAACTAGAGTGGCAGCGAAAAGCGAAGAATTGAAGGGGTTACAACTGAATGCAACCCCCCCCCAAAAAAAAACAAAACAACAACAACAACAACCCAACCCCAGAAGGCATGGGTGATCTAAAAAAGTGCCAGCACATCAGAATGCAACATCACATAGAATCTACGTTGCGATTGGAATAATAACAATATTAAAAAAAGAAATACCTGAAGAAACTATTTGAGGGATATTTGATAGGAAAGAAAGATCAAGTCAAACCACACCAGAGCACTCGCCAATCACCCAGCGAGAGAGAGACAGTTTTAGTTTTAGTAGAGGTTTTACAGCACTCGCAACTGCATAAGGTCATATGAGCGCCAGAGAGAGAGAGAGACAGAGACAGAGAGACAGACAGAGAGAGACAGAGACAGAGACAGAGAGAAAGAGAGTGAGAGAGAGAGAGAGAGAGAGACAGAGAGAGAGAGAGAGAGAGAGAGAGAGAGAGAGAGAGAGAGAGAGAGAGTACACATAATAAATTATACCTAGGGCCTACCCTTACGATCTCACAAAAACACAAACATGCGCTCTTAATACGCACATGGGCACCTTCACTATATTTCACACACACACACACACACACACACACACACACACACACACACACACACACACACACACACACACACACACACACACACACACACTCACAAGTGACGTGTACGCAGAGACACACGTTTATGTTTTACAATAAAAACACACTATAGACAAATTTTAATAAAGTCTAACTCAGTTCCTCCGAGGTCGGATAAAATGTGTTTTTCTCATTGGTGGGAGCTAACACTCGTTTCCATGGAGATTATTGTTATTGTTTTTATAATCTCCGGTCATACTTTTGACTCGATAAAAGTAACCAATCGTTTTTAGCGAGACTTGGGTATTTCCATATCCGCCGAAGCGGCGGAATTAGAGACGATCGTAGAGGCCGAGGCTATACAATGCTATGAACATCATTTGTGCCAAGCAGAGTAGTGCTTTGCTATGAAAGTGCGTCTCTGGAAGAGAAGGTAAAGATATAACATTTTGTTGAATTGATATCATGGACACTTGAACCTTTCTACGAAACGAAACATTTTGATCTATATTTGGATGTGCTGTGCTATTATATTGTCTGGCTATGTTAATGTTAATGATAATAATAATAATAAAAAAAGACATTGTCATTATATTATGAGGACTACTCACTTTCTTACTACAGTCAACAGTACACTCTAGATCTACTTCTGATTGTTGTGTGTATAATATTGTGACCGTCGCCGTCAGGCTTCCACGGTTTTTTGGTTTTGTTTGCTGACGGACATGCTTTGAAAGTTGTTTGGCCCGTTTTGTCAACAAAGCCCAAGACGAAACCGAGACCGACTTGTTGAGTTTAAGCCTGGATAACAAGACAGGAAGGCTACAGACGGTAAACTTTGACATAACCTGTTAAGAGTAGTTCATTTGAAGTACTTTGTTGGCAATGTGTGCTTTACTTTGATTGCATTTATAATCAATAATTTTATATATAGATTCTAGATCTAGATCTAGGCTAGCTAGTATACAACGCATCTTGTTTTAGAATACATTTTTATTTTGACCACCTCAATTTTGATCGGGGGTGAAAATAGCACCAAGAGCCTTTTGGCTATTCTCACCCGCTGTGCGTACACTGTGACACCAGTGTAAACAAACGTTGCGGCGCTCTTGTGTTGAAAGTTGAAAGTGCGCAATTTTTTCTGCAGGCAGTGAGAGAAATAGAGGGAGAGAGGGAGAGGGAGATCCAGGGGGGGGGGGGGGGAGGAGAAAGGGAGATAGAGAGAGAGAGGGGGGGGAGGAGAAAGAGAAAGGGAACGAAAGAGAGAAAAAGAAAGGGGGGGGGGGGGGAAAAAAAAAAGAAAGTGAAGGGGTAGCGAGAACTTCCAGCAAAACAAAATGGCGACTGGAGTAGTTCGGTTCGATTCAAAAAATGAAATAGCCGTAACATCTTTGTAGACGACCAAATTAGTTTACTTTTGTGCCATAACATAATTTTTTTCTTAGTGTCAATTTGATCATCCACACTGATTGTCAGTATTAAGAAATTAAGAAAAGCAGGTCTTCTTGTTTCACAACGGGTGATAATAGCGCATTGCGTGTGTGTGTTAATAAAGGGGGAAACGGGGGGGGGGGGGGGGGGCGCGTGAAGGGATTTCTTTTTTTGGGGGTTTACATGCAGGATCTTAGTTTTTGATTAGGTGTGACTAAATGCAAAAAAGGTTACTGCCAAGGTCGAGCTCTTGTTTTCTCTCAGTACCATTTGAAGGCATTTTCAAATGAAGTATAGTCCGAGAACGTTGCCCCAATCACAACTGAAGTATCTGAATATTCAGACATTTAAAAATCTATAGATCTAGCTCTAGAAATTGACTTCGATACAAAAAATGCTTCTTCCCAGTCCTCGCAGAATGGCATAATGAAAGATGACGCCTTAATCTCACTAATAACCTTAAAATCTCGAGAACGGGAACCGTTCGGAGAAATAGAGATCTCAAATTTATTTTCTCGAGCGTTCGGAGAAATAGATATTTTTATTTTCACCCGGGGCGAGAATAGCCACTTCCTTTTATTTTGGCGGCCCTATTTCTCCGAACGCTAGGGGAAATAAACTTGAACTCTATTTCTCCAAACGGCTTCCGTTCTCCTGATTTATTGAAAATTTGCGCGCGTGCACGCGAGTGAGTGTGCGTGCGTGTATGTGTACGTATGTGAGTGAGTGTGTGCGTGCGTGTGTGTGTATAAGGTGTGAACGAGGCGTGGGGGTGTGGAGGGATTTTATTTTTGTTTACATGAAAGATTTTAGTGTTTGCTTTAGGGGTGACTTCTCACAGTACCTTTTGAAGGCATTTTCAAGTGAAGTATAATAGTCGGGGAACGTTGCCCCAACCACTTCTGAAGTATCTGATTATTCAGACATTTAAAAATTTCTAGATCTAGATCTAGCTCTAGAAATTGAATTCAATTTAAAAAATGCTTCTTCCCAGTCCTCGCAGGATGGCAGAATGAAAGATGATGCCTAAATCTTGCAAATAAAAAAATCTCGAGAATGGAAACCGTTCGGAGAAATAGAGATCAAGTTTATTTTCCTGCGCCTTTGGAGAAATAGTCACTTCGTTTTATTTTTGGTGACAGTAATTTTAATCAAAATTAATTTTCTAGATTTGAATTTGGAAATGAGTTATCAGAATTCTAGCAGCAGTGATACCCATTTTCAGCCCATCCAGCCTTCACTCTGGCCTTCGTTAATTGTCTGTGTGGTTTCGTTTTTTTTTTTCCCCCAGCCTTTTCTCCCCAAATATGCTATCCTTTCAATAAATTAAATCAATTGTTATTGTGAAAAGTTTCTTGGTCTTTTGAACTGTGAACAATAATTTTCTTCTGGATTTGTTCATCCTGGCTTTCCACTTTCCATCATCTGAAAAATCTCATCTGGTCATAGGCGTAGGAATGCGCATGATGTTCCCATGAAGTAGCAGAACAGTTGAATAATATTAATTCAAGTTACAATTTTGATGTAAATTTTTTAAACGTAATATATATCTCTCATTAACTGAAATTTCAAGAGAAGCCTGGTAATACTTAAACTCAGAACAAGTTACTGTACTGAGGCTCCTTACATCGCATAGTATTATAATGTGATGTGATTGTTAAGATTTGCATCAGAAGCAAATTGACTATTCAAAGTAAATGGGAAAAAAAAAAAAAAACTCCTTGCAAAAATCTGTGACCTGATGAGTCACAAATATTCCGCTTTTTTTGTGCTGTCTTTTACAAATGCTCTCTAAGGGGTTTCATGGTTGATAAAAGTTTGTAGAGCCCATGATGAACATATTTTAGTGCTATGGGTTATTGTAAGTGCATACTTTCTGCTAGCTGCTTGTTTGTTCCCATTGACAATCAGTTTTATGGGAATAGGACAAATGTTAGATAATGTCAGAGCTCTATATATCCAACAGCACAAGCTCAGTAAGAACGAAGAAAGGCAATACAGACTGGTTTAAAGTAAGATCTGGAGTTAGACAGGAATGCGTTCTATCTCCCCTCCTGTTTATAATATATATGGACACAATAACGCAAGATGCAAACCAAAGCCCAGAAAGCCTAAATGAACTTCTATTTGCAGACGAACAGTGTCTTATTCATCCACACCAACAAAGCCTCCAAAATCACACTACCGAACTGAACAACAGCTGCGAGAAATTTAACATAAAAATAAGCACATCAAAAACAGAAGTTATGAAAGTAAGCCGAAACCATAGTCCCCTGAACATCCATGTCAATTGTAAACAACTGAAACAGGTGAAGGAGTTTAAATATCTTGGCAGTTCTTTTTCTGAAAACGGGTCCATAGACAGAGAAAAATAGAAAGCGAACTTAAAAGGCCAACGCTGTCACCTACCAGCTCGCACCCCACCTAGCTCATCCAAACCTCTCCATGGACACAAAGGGACATCTTATCACCTCAATGTTCATACCAACGTTATGCTACCAGTGCCAGACCTGGACATTAAGTAAAACCCATGAAAGCAAAATCCCTGCATGCCAAATGAAATGTCTCCGCAAAAGCCTTAACCTCACTTGACGAGACAGGCAGAGAAATGAAGAAGTAAGAGCAGCTATTGGCATTGAGTCCTGCCTGCATTACATAGAAAGACAGAGAATAAAGTGGTTTGGCCACCTGTTACGTATGTCACATGACCAGCCAGCCTCGAGGGCCTACAACACCAAGCACTCAGGCTATAAAGTAAAGGAAGAGGAAGGCCACGCAAAAGGTGGATCAAGGGTGTCAAGGAAACCCTGAGAAAACATACTATCACAACTGAAAGAGCTGCGGAGCTGGCCTACCATAGAAAACTGCATCTCCCTTAGACGCTTGACGGCAACAGAGGATGAAAAAGTAAAAAGTAAAGGTATTGTGAGAAAAGATCACTGCTTTCTGCTGAGGCTGTTTCATGCACATAAGATTTTGTAATCTCTGTTGTTTTTTCTTTCAGGCTAATTCAAACATCTTGTGGATCCATTGTCTGCTTTGGCATAACAAGGTAATTTTGTGATAATTACAGTGTCTGTAAAATGACGTAATCTGTTTTGCGGGTGGTTTGGAGACTTTGCATTACTCAAATCATTGTCTTTTTTTGTTCATTTTTTATTTTAACTAGTTTCATCAGGGATGCCAAATGTCCGGTTTTTCTGTTTTTTTCCGGTTTTTTTCATCCGTTGGAATTGCAAAGGAAAGGGGAGAGGTAAGAGAGAAAATGTTTTTGTTTGCTCTTTTAAAAGCTTTACAAGGTTCAGTTTAGGTGAGATGTGATGCTCCTCTTATTTTCAGATTTTTAATTAAAAAATCATTTGGCATCCCTGTTTCATATTTAAAAAAATTAAAATCACTTTTTATTTCCCTGATGCAGCAAAGGAATAGGTAGCTGTTAACCGAAAGATGCCAAATGGCTGCCAGCAGTTCTGTGATTTATCATGGAATATTGTGTTGGTGATACTGTAGGTCAGGTAAAAAAAAGGGAATTTAGTAGAGCAGTGAGAGAGATATTTTAAATGTTGCTGGATTTTCATTAACATTTTTAGGACTTTAGCTGTAGTATTTTCTGCTGTATTCAAGGAATATCAATATCATTGCAATCTAGTGTTAGAAGAAAACTTTGTATTCATAGTGCTTGAGCATTTAAAAAAAAAGTTCTGTTGAAGCCTATTGTGTACGTTATATGTTTTAATGTAACATATTAGAATGGATGTCTCATTGTGAAATGCATTGTTATGTCCCGTAGTCAAATTATGTATGGTCTGATAAGATAGGGTTTGGTGGGGTAATGGCACTGGCTGATGCACACTGTTCCAAAAAGACTTTTCCTTTGCCTCATCAAATTTGGTTATGTCCAATTGGGCCTATTGCATTCTGTGTGCATACAGCAGATTTGATTCTGTAATGTCATGTGATGTGTAGTAGCCTTGCGATCAGCTGTTGCCACCATTTTCATCAAATCTGCTCGAATGCGACTGAGAAATCAAACATGATTTAAGTGGATTGGATCAGATTGTGCCAAAATCTTAGCTTTTGCACTTCTATGAAGGAAAAGTCTGGCTGCCCTCAACTGTATCAAATTATATCATAATGGGATTTGATGAAACTTTCTGCGGTGTGCAATGGGTATAACCAAGGAAGTTGCTGCATTTGATACACTGATGTGGTTCAAATTTCCTCGTAGAGAGTTTTTTTTTTTTCTCTTCTATAGATTATACAGTTCAAAATGCATTGATGGGTCAACTTATTTTGCAAATTTATCTTTAAGCTGATAGTACTTTAACTTTAATGCTGAAGAAGGTGCCTCATGAACTCAACTGAAATGAACAATGATGTTTGTATTTCACAGGATTTAAAGATTTCTACAAGAGTGCATCTGAGACCAAAGGTCCAGAAGCACGAATGGATTTTGTTAGTCTACCACCAGAGATTATTGAGAAAATTTTCTTGCAACTGGATACTCAAGCTCTAGCTGCTTGTGCCTTGGTAGATGAATGTTTGGCAAAACTCATCTACGGCCGCCACTTTTTAGATGAATATTGCCGAAAAACTTTCTGCTGCTCTTGGCTGACTGCTCAGGATGTCCATGATGTCGATATCGCTGTCCCCTTTGAGTTCTGGTTCTGGGTCTATGAAACGGTGAAGGTAGGAGTCTTATTAATATGTCTCTCTTTGGGCTGAAACGCAGAAGTTCAAATAGCTCAATCTTGAAATGACAACAGTACTGATTTTGTGTGAAAACATTGGTTGTCACACTGGTTGTCATTGTCAATATTTGTATTTTGTAATTTTGCTGTGGTTGACTCTATAAAAGGAAAATTATTGAAGGACTTCTAGAGATGTCTATTATATTGTCCTTCATTTGGTAGATTCCATTTAGATCGATCTTAGAATGAGAATATGTGGGGGGGGGGGCTGCTGTACGTAGAAATTGGGGGGATAATACTCGTTATCCTCTGTGCCTGTATTGATTTGGAATCAAATCAGTAACTTTGGCATTAGAAGCAAATGCCTTACTCTAAGCTTACAAATTCTGGTCTCAAATTTTGATTACATCCTCGTGCTTCCTCTTGCTACTGATTATAAAGTTATGTGTCCTCTCTGGTTTGTCCTTGTGATGTCTCTTGGACTTTGTTGGAAATTAATTTCATAAACTTTTTGTAAAAGAATAGGCCAAAATCTATTTGTTCTTTGATGATAATCTTGGTTCTCAGTCATGACCTATCAAGGCGGTGATCAAAATTATTTTTTGCATCAAACTGCATTGAAGAATGTTTTTTCTTTTCATTAAGTTGACAATTTTGATGCATTTAGAATGCATAAACTTTTTTTGTAACATGACGTGACTCCTAGTATTGTGGTTCTAAGAGTTTCCTCAATCTGAAAAATTGCCGACAGTAGCAGTGGTTTTTGTGAATTCCACAACTTTGTGAAGCTGTTAATCTTTGTTTATTTCTGCACATACCCGGTACGCGCTTGATGATATCAATAGGCCTTTGTGACATATAAGAATAATTTGGTTGGTAGCTTCAGCAAGTTAATATTCCTTCCACTCCAGCATGAGACAACAAGACCGGCGTCTGTGGTATAGTGGCTAGGTGCAGCCATTCCCTGCAAAATATGTGAGTTCGATTCCAGTGTGGGGAGGTTTTTTTAAGTCGAGTATCTCCATCTGTCTGCTGGAACTTTGTACCTTCTCTACCCAGGTTGGCCCTGACATTGACAGGCATGGTCAAAGCAGACTGCCTTCTGAATGATCTAAATGGAGTTGATAGGGATGTAAAACATCTACTACATATTTACAACATCAAGGAACATCTCAGAATGACCTCTGCTTTCTTCAGCCTTGTTTTGGGCCATCAACAGAGATAGCAATTCCACTATCTTCACTGCGAAAAATTTACTCCCTCCCAATTTCCCACTGTATTGTATAATATATTATGTGTCAGTTAACATTTTTCAAAATACATAGTAGAGTCAGATTATTCTGAAATCTGCAGGACCCCTGGATTTTCTTCGGTTTGCCGAGTGTTTGGTGTAGATAGGTTGCTCAAATGGAAGAAAAAATTTGAGAATTTTATTTTCTTTCAGTTTACTGCAGTTTTCGGATTAACCGTGTCCAGTTTAAGCAGATTCCACTGTACTTGCTTGCTTCATCAAATACCTTGTGTGATCTTCAAGAACACAGGTCACGGGGACTTTGTGAATTTCAAAATACCTCCTGTATGCAGTTTACTATTTCTCCTTAACCCTATCCGTACGCCCTGGGGTCATTTTGTATCCCCGGGGTTGTATTCTTCACATTTTAGAATACTTCTAGTACGAAGATCTCTTTGAAACTTTCAGTATTTCTCAAAAAATCATTTTGATGGACTGCTATGCAAAGCGCACCGTTCGAATTAGTGAGTAAATTTACTCTTTGGAAAGTGGTGGCACAGAATTCCCCATGTCGTATGGATACGATAATAAAACATGACGTACGGATAGGATTAAATGCAGATAAGAAGGCAGGTTTTCTTCTGTGCTATATGTGCATGCAATCATTTGCATGAAAGCAACATTCTTACAAGTCTATAGAACTTTGTGTTAATTAAAAGTTTATGTGTGCAGATTTATTTTGACTACCTGCCATTAATGTTTTACAATTTTTCATTGTTTCGAAAAAGTTTTTGGCAACTCTGGATTCTCAGTGAACTAAAATATTTTCATTCAAAGTAAACTCTCTTTTAAAATTATGCATGTTTTTTTCAAAGTGCTTGAGTCTCTTGTTTTGTCAGCTTATGTATATTAACATTATATCCTTAGAAAATGAAACTGAGATGTTTGCATTTAACTACCGAGAGTTATTTGTCGCTGAATTAGTTTCCTGACTTAATTTGGGATGTTGATTCTTTTCTCCCAGGCTCAGGACGCCCATCATGGAACTGTCATCTACCAGAGCAAATACCTCACTAAGATTGGAACATTGAAGCATCTCTTCATTATGTGGCTCATGTGTGGACATCGTTCCAGTTTCATTGACTCTCATGCATTGATGAATGTACTGTACCCACTTCCTCATACTGTTCATGATGTTTTTGACTCAAAATGCAAGCAACCAGAACCTTTTATTATTGACACCCTGATGAAGATATTTTTCTCCCTGCCAGAAATAATGCACGTTAGTTGCAGCAATTTGAAAGTTTTCAGCATGCAGAAAGGAACAGTTACCACTGCCCCGATACAATATATAGTCAGGACAAAACTGAAGGAGAGATTGCCTAAGAATTTCCGTCCAGTCTTCAGTGTGGAGATGCTATGTGCCTCAAATTCTGCTCGCACTCCTGCCCTGGTGATTCTCATGGACAGAGACTGGTGGATATTGTGGTTTGGGATGGTGAATTTTTCTACAGATCGACCAGATGGTTTAGACCACTTTTGTTATGGAACTTACAGTCACAGTGTTATGTTGGGAGATATAAAACTGGATGCTAAATCTGCCATCAAGCATTTTAATGATCATGTGCAGAGTCACAGGGATGTGTCTCGAGGGTCATCGTCAGAACCAGCAATGAGAGTATTGCCCTGCCCTCTCATCACCTTCGAGAATTCAGACATGGCGGACATGACCTTTTCACTGGCACAGGAAAGTCTAAGGGGCTTGCAGAAGAAATTTCAAATTGTCCTCAACAGGACCTGCAGTCATGTTATCAAAGCTCTACGAAAGATTTTATGTGAACAGGATTACACACGAGTCTCGAGGTTGTTTAGCACAAGAGCTTCACAAAATGATCAGATCGATGAATTTGTTCTTCATTTACTTCATGTGGATATGGTCAGTGCTATGTTCAACCCCAGTCATCAACTTGACTTTGTCGTTTATAAGTACATCTTGGAGAGGATAGCATTTATGTTCAGAAACGAAATCCACAAGAGTCTGGTGAGCAATTTCAGCCATGCTTTTCTCTGCAACTGTCTGGGCCCATCGTTTCCTTTGAAGTGTTGTTGCAACCCACAGTTGACGATAGAGAAATGCTTGTCTGTCAAAATCAAAGATGGCCTCTACTCTCCTCAGATGTGGCCTCCACATGTCTTGTCCGCCGCTTGCCTGATCATGCCTGCTCTTGCTGAAGTACTCAAGTCTGACATTTTGTTGATGAAAATGGGCCGCTTGAAGTGGGCCCTCTCTAGGAATGCTGTCAGTCAGCTCAATCAAAAGCTGAGAATCTCTGGCCTCACCCTCACTAACAGGCCACCAGGCAAGCCACGGTACCCACCAGTGCTGAAGCAAGTCCGACTTCTGATAGTCGACAGTCTGGGGCTGACAAGGAAAGACCCTCTAGGTTAACAGTTAACGTCTCTAGGACAGGAAAATCTCTGGTCTGTGGCACTTTTTGGACTTTATTTCTGATGTGTGTCAGTTGTCCTTTTAAATAAAGATGAATTCAAGTTCAAGTGTATGAGAACCCCCACCCCAAATGTATTCTTAACTGAAGTCGAATAGATAGAGAGAGATACTGTGTTTGGAGTTTTAAAGGATAATTCATTTAAATATAAACCAACTTGCTGTGAAAAGGAGACTGTTGCTTTTGGGCCTTGCAGTAGTCAAGAGACTTTTTATGCTGTAAAATGATCAATTAAGACATTTAATGGGAACTGTTGCGGAGGACATTTAAAAAAAAAAAATTGATTAGTAGCCTATGAACAATATTGTATGAGATTTAAGTTGTGGTCTGTGGCTTGTGGACAAACTTTTAAGTCAGCTCAGCCCTGATCAGCTAATTAGAGCTTGTTAGGGTCAAGGAGCCTTTAAGGCCTGTTTGTTGTCTTCATTAACAAAAAGAAAGCATGCAGTGGAAAGTAACAGTAACGTACCTCATCTTTTGTGGCAAGTCAATGTGAAATGGCGACTGAGACTGTGTTTTAAAGTTTTTAGCGCGGTTGAAAATTTTAATGGAACACATGTGACTTTACTGGTTACTTTGTTAATCTGCTGACTTTTTTAATTTTCAGAATATGATTTAGTCATTGCGTGATAATGATGTACATTTCTCCAAGTATGTTTTATCGATTGGCTCTTAGTTCTTAATTTCATTGTGTTGTTTCCCCGACTTATTTTCGTGTCCTTTTTGTTTGCCTCCCTTCACATTATATGATATATAGGAAATCAATGAAGAAGATATTGAGGTAAATTCAACTGTTTAAAATATCCATAGTCTTGCAAGCTATTGACAGTACAAATTTCTACAAGACAGAAAACTTTTCTATAATGATAATATTTCTGGGTAAAGTCTTGTGTTATTTTCTTTTACCTTCAGTGCATTTAGTGTTTGTGAAAATTGCACCACACTTGTCTAAATTCTTTACCATTACTATTGAACGTTATTTATGCTGGGTAGATCATAGCATTTCATTCATTGTTCAATTGTTGTCCAACTTTTGAAATGAACCAAAGTAAAAGATGCATTACAGTTTATAAATTAAAATCAATTACCAGCAAGTCTGAAATGGTAAAATGCAGTATGATATTAAGACCAGGTATTGTTACCTTATGATTTCAATGTGGGGACATGCATACGTGTGCGGGGTGATGTGCCATTGAATTTAATCTTTCTGTTTGATATGTTTTCTTTTTTCTTATAAAATGGAAGTCAATTTGATTGCTGTCAAATAGTACTTCATCTCTTGATAGTAAGTGACTGTCCAAAAGAAAGATATTGTCAGAATGTTTAGGTTTTTTTCTCCAACTGGTACCCACATTGAATTATTTTACTGTAATGGAGATTTTTATGGTTTGTCATTATTCGCTCTTCCATGCCACATCTCAGTTCTGTACCCAACATCATTGCACTTTATCAATGCAAAACAGTGCTGTGACAAATTCTCAAAATGAACAGAAACTGCTTTGCTTATTATAAACTTGAAATGGAGGAGATTATGAGCTAGCATTTCATAGGTTCAGTGTTCATGTGATGCAACTTTTCTGGCTGTTATACATAAGAAAAGATCATGTGTTTCTAGGGAGTAATTGCTATCATAACTAATTTATAATATCATAAGTGCCAACCAGTAGGCCTACATTAAAAACGTAATTTATGTTTTAGAGGGTCTGAGTACTGCAGTCTGTATTTTTGGTCAGAAAATATGCGCTCTGTTTTCTAGTATCGCTCCTGGCGGACTTGTCGGCATTGAAGGAAAACTAAGAACTTTCAAGATTGGATTTGCAAACAATAATGAGAACAAAGGAGATTAATCCACATTTCTGACATTATTGTTGCAGGTCTGCTTTGAATAACTTGAATTCTTTGAATGTAGAAAAAAAATATGTGAAGGGTTTGGAGGTAGCCTACTTGTCCAGTGCCCACCATCTTGACTGCCATGAACGTAGAGTCTGTTGTTATTTTGGATTTCAAAGGTCGGCAGCTGTGTAATGTAATTGATTCATTTCTTTGATTTTGAAATACTGTTGCCCCAAAATTCTTTCTTTTTTAAATTAAGGAAAGAGGCAGATATGTAAAGTTCAAAATTGAGACTTTTTACTTCTTTGATTACCCTGCTATTGATATTTCATATTTCAATTTGTATCAGTAGAAAAGTGACTTTACAAAGTTCTGGAAGCCACATTTGCCTGTTTTTACTTGTATGTAGAATGAAATCTTTTGACTTTAGAAATCGTCTTTCTCAAAGGGTATGATTTTGATTAAGTGACCAGTGTAAAAGTAGTTCTTCTAAAAAAATATTCAAGTTGAGCTTTCAAATTTTCAGTGGACTAAGATATGATGTTATTGTAGATAATAATAATAATAAATGAATTTATAACGCGCCAGAATCCACAAAGCGTGCTCGGTGGTGCTTACAAAACACACACACACACCCCCACAAAAGCTCTAAAGCTCAGTACCACTACGACAGGCATAAATTTTTAAAAATTAAAAAAGGGCTAGTAATTTTTCTCAAAAGTTATGTAAGTAAATGTTGAATTTTGATCTTTGAGTGTCTTATAGGTGATAGTGCCTGTACACTAACATTTTGAAAATATGGAAAAAAATAGTTTTCCTCCAAATCTAATCATTTCAGAGGGCCAGTTACTTTTCGGGATAATTGATCAAACAATTTTTTAGAAGAACCATCTGTACATTGTTTATTTATGATTCAAGATGGCCAATGTTTCCATAGAAATCGTGATGTCCTTCCCCTCACAATAAAAATTCCTTGTATTTCTTTTATAAGTCATTCTTAGCAATAGTGGGAAATTTAAATGAAAATAACTAGAAATGAGCAAGTTTGAAGTTTTAAGAGTCTTTTTCCTGAAAATGAATTACAAAATATGCCTACGTTATTTGTTTTTAAAAAAATTCAAAATGCTAATAATTATACCATATATTTTGCAAATTATTTGAATGGTGCTGATATTCAAAGCTATTTAGTCACACATCAATAAATTACTGTCTTTCAAAAATGTTTTTAATTTATATTGTTACATAAAAAAAATTTCTTATGTAACGCAGTATTCATTTTTATTTCTTTCAAGTTTGCCCTTCCGTCACATGACTTATTGTGCCATTTTACCCGATGCTGATGTTCAGATTTTTTTTCACTTCAGTAGCATTGAAGCTTTAAATTGTCATCCGTAAGAGTATCTGAAAGGTTGACATTTTTTTCGCATTTTAGCTATTATTATTCTTTAAAATGTGATACGGGTGAATTTTTAACTATTTCTTCCTTTCAGCGACTTGTCATCTGTGCATACATTACTGAGAATATGGGGCCAAAAGCAGTATGTGCTGCATTTATTTTACTGGTAGTCCACAAATGTTACCATTGCAGTGTGAGGATGGTGATAATAAATTATAAATTATATTGAGCATTCAAATTTTGAGTTAGTGTGCAAATGTGTTGTTCCTAATTTTTTTTTGTGGGTGGCTGGCGGGTGCTTCGGCGTGGTTTGCTCCTTCTTTCCTATCAAACGTCTATCATCTTGAAAATGAAAAGTGCCGTTCACTTCATGAGGTCTCCACAAGAACAGAAATCTGTGTATAGTGAGCTTTACTCTTATTGTAAGTTTTCATGATCAAGTGTGTGAATTCTTTGAAACTGGGAAAAATACAGAGGTCATCATTTTGACAAGTACATATGGTCGCTTTTAAGGACAAGCGGGCTAACCCAGATTTCGGGGGTTTCCAGAAATCTTGACCCTCACCAAAAGTGGGCATTGCCCTACCAAGGGAGAAGTTTGGTTATATTGGTGTGTATTTGTTTGGTTATAATAGAGAAAACTCTCCTTGTCTTTTAAAGAAACTGAACAAGGGGCAAAAACTTTACATTCGATTTTTTCAAAACAGCATTTTTCGGGATAGCCCCCTTGTGCTTAAAAAATAAAAGTGACCATATACAGTTGAACCTTCCCTAAATCAGGGCCATCTGTCCAAGACAATTACCTTTCAGTTAAAAAAACCCACTAATGCCATTGTCCAAGATTTCCGACTGTCTTAGACAGCCACTTTTCCCTAGGACAATTGGTGACTGTTTTGGACAATTTCCACTGTATTTATTTATCTTGTGCTTTTACTTTTTTTTCCCCGCTCAATTAAAACTGAGAGCGAAAAATAGTACACCATCACCAATACTTGCCTATCACTACTTTGATATAATTTATGATAAAAACGTTACACCTGTTGTAGATTTATAAAGGGAGACTTCTTGTGGTACCAGGTTATAAATAGATGCAATATATAACTATCATTGTGTCAACACGCATCTCTTCACTAAAAACGTACAAATTTACTGATTTTGAGTGTATGTGGCATTGTATTGTATGTTCCGTGCCACAGTGGGGCCAGTTCTACCATTTAAACAAACAGCATATGAACAAATCAAACATTAGCTTTTAAAACTGAAATTGAGACAGCTGTTTATTGAAGCATAAAAAAAGACTAATTCACAGTCAGAACTTAAAAAGAGTACAGATTAATTAAAACGTTCAATTTTTGTGTGTGCTGAAATTCACGCACCTAATATTCTCATCCCATAATCTTTACTTTGAAAAATAAAAGTGATAGTCATTATTTAAGTTAAGTTTTAAGTACAGTACCGTATTCTCTGCCTAAACGCGCGCCATACAAAGGCATGCTCCCTTCAAACGCACGCTTTCGTCATATGACGAGTTTATTGCTATATAATTTAGACGTGCAAACGCACGGCCACTTCTAAACGCACGCTCCGATCCAGGAAACACGCCGACAGGTAAAGCTTGACAAGGGGAAATTTCGCAGCAGCCTACACAGCTTGCATAGACAAGCCTAGACGGGACTGACCTTCACGCAGAACAGAGAGAGCGATGGGCAGAGTTTTCATGCCCAACTTTCCACGATCACGTATAGGATAGGTTTAGGACTGGTCGGGTGATAATATGTAAGGGAGGGGAGGGGGGACTGAAATGTCTTCTGATTGGTCACTCGAAATGCGTCTTTGAGAGAAGGTTTCTGCCTGGTGTTTGAGTGACAGCTTACTATGATGCGCAACACGCGTGAATACTCTAAAACATTTGATATGCCACTCTAATTAAAGATTAGTAAGGTAATCAACTGTGCTCGAAGAACTTATAAAGTACTTGTTCAACGATTCACAAGTAAAAAGTCTGACGTCATCCATGCATTTATCGAGTTGCAATAGATATCAGACTGTCGGGATTGGTCGCTTGAAATTGGAAAGCCACGTGGCTGAAAGCTTTTCCCTAATGACTAGATCTATCATGAACAGTTTCTTCTTATCTGATCCCGACATTTTATAGTGCATATCAGTACAGTGAGACCGTTTTTCTGTGCACCCCCCCCCAATTCAACACCTTTGTATTCATAATTCATAACTGCAGTCGGGGGAATCCTTCACAAAACAGTCACGTGCCATCACATAATTGGGCAAAATGACCCATCACCCCCAAGGGAGGTCACTAGAATATCAAGGCAATGAGATGATTGCATCGATCTCTTCCTCCTTTTGCACAGATTCATATAAACGCATGCTTAGGGACCTTCCCGAATACCGTGCATTTAGGCGGAGACTACTGTAACTGTTTAGAGGTTAGCTGGTGAGGCTACCTTAACTGTAAATAAAATCTATCCCTTAAAATAATAAATTAAAATATATATCAGAGAACCTTCTGTAAGTGGACCCCATGAGAAAGAGCAAACAAACCTGTGATATAAAAAAAGGGAAAAAAAAAAATTTCATACAAATGATGTTTGGAGGCATAACGTAAAGATTCAGCGACCTAAATAAAAAAAGTTTTAGTTTTAGATTAATCATTTTGTGAGTATCTCATGGCCATTTTTAGTGACTAGTATTGTGTGCTCAAACTGAGCAGATCTGCTTTTGTCTTTGGTCACAACGGTCCAGTCATCACTTAGAATTTGAATCTCTGGAGATCCTTCACATATAATTGGCTCTGAAAAAGAAAAGAAAAGAATGTCATCATCATGTATACACGATCAATCAGCGTTTAATGACCACAAGAAAAACACTGCCATTATGTATACACAATCAATTAGCGTTTCATGACCACAGGGAACAGACTGTCATTATGTATATATATGATCAATCAGTGTTTCATGACCACTATGGAGCAATCTCAGCCTAGTGAGAGCACATCTGATGACTCTACCAAGTACTCTACAATTCTAGACTCAAAGTTTGATGTTTGTTTTGTGTCTGTGTTAATCACTAACCTGAAGAGATCAGCAGATTTGTTTTGCAATGCAAGTTATTTTGACACAGTTGTGGGTTATAAGTACACTACTCAAATCAATTTGTCTTACTCTATCTACTACAACTCAAAGAAATACTTACCAGATTCTTTAACATGAAGTGCAATTGATGTTACAGATGCAGCCAGCATGCTAACAAATGTACACTGTCCCTCACATGTCAAACAACCTAATGTCTTCAACAGTTGTACAAATTCTTATCATGGGAAGGTTCTCATTATAAAAACAGGCCTACATAGTAGCCAAGCCCACTGGTTACTCATAGCAACCAGGTATTTTCATAGTTTCCTAAACAACCCTATAAAGTTTTCAACCTGAATTGAATAATACAGTAGTCCCCGCCTAAACGCACGGTGCTCTGGAGGGCTCCTTAGCGTGTGTTTACATGGAGCGTGTGTTTACATGAACCTCTGCAAGGGGAGGAAGGGACGCAGTCATCTCAACTCCTTATTAACTCTAGTGACCTCCCTTGGAGGGAGGGGGTCATTTTGGCAGATAATGTGACAGCACGTGACTGTTTTGTTAAAGATTCCCCCACTGGGGTTAGTAATAAAAAGGCGTTCAATGGGGGAGGGGGGGGGGGGGGGAGACAGACTCATTGTAATAAATTATATTATTATGGACTATAAACCTCGGGAACAGATAGCGTAAGAGGAAACTGTTGGCGATAGTCATAGAGGCAACAGCCCAGCCACGTGGCTTTCCAAGCAACCCCCCCGACCGTAAATTCACGCAGAATCATTCTCTACATTCAGAGAAACATTTCTCTTGCGATTCGTTGAACAAGTACGTTATAAGTTCTTTGAGCACAGCTGATTAGGCTTACTTGTATAATCTTTTATCCTGTCTAGATCTAGATTCTAGTGCTTTACGGCATTTACACGTATTGCGCATCAGGCCTAGATCTAACGAAACATTACATGCAGTCACTCAAACACCAGTCAGAAACCTTCTCTCAAAGATACATTTCCAGTGACCTATCAAAAAACATTTCAGTCCCCCCAACATTTCACCGACCAGACCTAGATTTATGTGTCTCTGTGGAAAGTTGGATGTGAAAACGCTGTCTATCACTCTTTCTTAGGCTTGTCTTATACGGTTGTAGTGAAAATTTCCTTGTCAAGCTTTATCTGTCGGCGTGTTTCGCAGATCGGAGCGTACGTTTAGAGGGAGAGACCGTGTGTTTGTACGTCTAAATTATAGAGTAAAAAACCCGTCAGATGACGGAAGCGTGCGTTTGAGCGGAGCGTGCTTTTGTATGCCGTGCGTTTAGGCGGAGACTACTGTAAATCTTTTATCTTACTTGGAAATTCTTTCATTACAAAAAAAAGACACAAGACCACATCATTCAACAAGGATGCTGTACGTACCAACAGTAAAAGTCATTCCAGCTTTCATTTCACCTCGTGCTCCAGAGTAACTGGCTGTAACATGAAGTGGAGTCATCTTTTAATTCAGTTGTCAGTACGATAGAAAATGTGTAAATCAATGGAACTGTTTGTAATGAAGAAACTACAACAGTAAATTGGTTTGAAGAAAGTTTCAGTTTTAGTAGAGGTTTTACGGCGTTCGCAACTGCAAAAGGTCATATGAGCACCAGAAGATTAGAGGTGTTACAAGAGAATAACAAACATAAAAAAGAAAAAGGGGAGATAAGGACGATAGATGTTTGAAAGGAAAGAAGAAGCAAATGACACCAGAGCACCTGCCAACCACCCACGTTTGAAGAATAAAAAAACATTAGTAACATATAGTAGTTTCTGCACGTAGACAAAAAAAACAAAAAAACTTGTATTAAAAAGTCCCCCCCCCCCTCCCCAATCCCCTCAGATCCATGCACTAACAGCCACCCGACCAACCTCTTTTGACCCTCGAACACACAAAGCACAAAGACGCATCATATCTTACATGTGTTAACGGCAAGTGTATTGGCATGGAAGAAGGCTTCTGATTGGACGCATAACATTTAACCAATAGGCTAGGCTAAGCATGTAATGTAATGATACACTGTGCAAGTGCTGTTGATGGTCTCTTGGAACAGAGTAGATCAGGCTCATTATGACTTCCTTGAATCCAGGTTTACTCATTTATTAGACCTGCATGTGAGCCTCAACTGGATTGTCTGAAAATTTTGCTTTTGTGGGCGTCATAAAAGGAACGACTTTCGTGTTGTGAGCGACCACCCCGACAAACACAATAAAGAAGAGACCTAACCTTAACCCTACCTCATGAAAGAACCTGCAACGGCCCTCATGTAAAAAGGCCAACAGCACAAGTCCAAAATTAAAAAAAAAACCACTCAGAGATTTTGTTGATTTTAATTAATTAAAAAAACAGGAAATCTGTCTTTATCATTGAATCCAAGTTTTCGTTGAATTCGAGGTCCTCTGTGCCCCCAAGAATTCCAATTTGTCGTAACACCCGTTTTTCCATTGAGCCCATCCTATGTTAATCTAAAAGCTGAGATGTAGGTAAATGGTGCTGAAAAAGACAAACCAAGTAGATACACAATACTGCTCTTGAAAAATACTTACGAACATGCACAATATCAGGTGGTCCGTGGAAGTACTGTCCAATGCCGTGACCACAGAAATTTGGAATCACTTCAAAACCTGCTTCTTGTGCCTTCATGCTGCAGTAGAAATGTAGGGAGAACATTAGAACTAAGAAATGCAGAAGAAAAGATACATGCATGTACAATATTTTAAAAAATCAAGCTGTTTGAAAAATTTCTCATTATATCAATCAAAATTTTCAAGACAAAAGAAACGGGACAAAAATAATCGATAGCAATAAGAAAGCTATGGCTCATTTTACTACCCAGGACCAAGCAACAGGTGACCCAGGCATTGGATTTTTTCACATTTAAATGAATAGTCAGAATAGTCTAGCATATATATACATAGCCAAACACAGATTTTGAGGTCCTGAATTTTTTTCTTATTAATCAAATATATAGGTACAGTTTGGCATGGTTAACTCGAATACGTCAGGGACTGACAAATGTGTTTGACACATCCATAATTCGGGTAAACCGTATTATGACATATTAAAAAGATATCAGTTGGGGAATGGCATATTGTACAAGTTATCTGTGATTTAAAGTTTTTTGCGTTCGCGTTAGCTGTGTCCGACTATATATATATTTTTTGTATTTAAAAACACGTACATAGCGAAATTCGAAGATAACAAAGATTTCTGCTTCCTGCCAATTTCACTATGATTATGCTAGACTGTAGTTTATAATTTATAGACTAGGTTTTGAGTCTTGTAAATGTCAATTACAATGTGAGATATTATATTTGAGACAAAAAAATCTAGGCCGTACATTAAAAGTTTAATGTCTTCTCCTTTTGATCTGAAAAATATGTGCAGCACTGCGGTCTTTCAAATTACTCTGTAAAAGAAAGAATTGCTGGTATCATGGTTAATCAAAGTCAAATGCAGCTACATGGTATTTAGATGACTGAAGAAACTTCAAACTGGTGCTTGCAAAGAGACTCAGAGCATACTGGTGATGTGTTCAGCATGATGTGCTGAACGAACTGTGGAATCTGACCAAAGAAGATGATAAACAGCACATTCCTTGTGAGACTTGAAGTTGCTGTTTGTAATAAAAATGATTAAATGTGTTTGATTTTCAACACACTGTACCAGTGTCTGTGGTGTAGCAGTTAGGCACTTTGCTGTCACATGCAGGAGACCTAAGTTGGATTCCCAAGTAGGGAGAAATTTTTTTCGAGTGTCTTGGTCTGTCTGCTGGGATGTTGTATCCCTCTCAGCAGGGTTGGTCCTGACAGGCAGGGTCAAAAGCTCACCTTCTAATGATCTAAACCGTGTCGATGGGAGCATACAAATCCCTACATTAAAAATAAATATTAATACATTGTTACTTTTATGAAGTGTGATGCTATAGAAGAGGTGAAAGAAGTGCTTGAAGGAAAGATGTGGGGCAGGAGAGCCAGAGGAAGGGAAAGAATAATATGGATGGATAACATAGAACATGGACTGGCCTGGATATGGCAGAATGTGCAATGGCAGCTCGCGACAAAGAAAGATAGAGGGTCATTACATGTCAACCTCCGAGTCAGAGATGACACCTCCAGGATGCAACAGAGTTAAATGATAACTCTGATGTTTTGCTTCTGTTATCATCTCTCAGTTTTAGGTAAAAAGCAACTGATTTAAAAAAAAATTAAGAGATAGAAAAGAGGCAAATGATGTCATGAACGATGCTGGTCAGTAAAATACGGTAATGATAATACAGTCTGTTGTCAGTAAATAAGTAGGCCTACCCACAAAGTGAGTGAACTCAAGGGATTACGTGAATATGCGAAACACCATGATGAGGAAGGAGAGATGCAGCACTTGCTGTTTGTGAGCTCACTGACAGATATATGTTCTGCTCCATAATCCTCCTGACACTGCAGTGTTATTTGTTATCATTTCTTGCTTAAATTGGCAGGGGGCTCTCGTGGCCTAGAGGTTAAGGTGTTGGCCTCTCATTCAAAGGTCCCAAATTCGAATCCGGGTAGTGACCGAAAACTTTTCTTCTGTAAATTTGTCTCCTTTCACCTCCTTTCCTGCTCTCTACCAATGTTCTGTCGTCTGCTTTCGTCTTCTCTTTCTGCCCCCACTCCCTCATCTCCTTTGCCCTCCTCCTCTGGGCTCCTGATTCTTTCTACAGCCTTTCTACTGCTACTCCTTGGCTTTCAGCCACACCCCTGATCTTCTGGTAGGGCAAAATTCAAAATTTCATACCAACTGAAAAAGTTTAATGTGTCCCGCGCGCTCATATGACCTTATGCAGTTGCGAGCGCCGTAAAACACTTACAAAAAAAATTAATTTAATTGGCATAACTGATATCAAAGCTGACAGTTATGTCTCCCTTTTAACAAAAGTAGATTTAAGCACTGATAAGAGAAAGATCAAAAACTGGTTTCAAAACAAGTCTCAAACAAAAAAATCATAATGTACTATCCTTTCTTCAAGAAGAATTTTAACAAGGCTCCATAAAGCTGAGTACAGTATTTTAAAAGTGTTTCTTCTGGCTGAAGTTTGATTCGAGATGAAGTTCTTTTTCCCACTCAAGTACAGTTAAACCTGCTCTACTAATGGTCACTTGTATACGACAATTAACAAATCACCTGTACAGACAGCCTCTTCCCCTTTTCTCCCTTGCATATTTTTTACATAGTACCAGCACTGTGTAAGACTGCCACCTGTCTAATAGTAATACAGCTACTTTTCCCCCCGACAATGGGTGGCCATCTTAGACAGTTTTGACTCTACAGTATAACGCGGATGGGTCGAACATAGAAGACTCAAAATTATGCATCTGTCGAACTGTGTCTACGGTCCTATTTTTTACCCTTCGTCTTACATGTCTCCCAAGGACTGTCTTGACGAATTCGAGTTACCGTTGTTATACTGCGCTTGACTTTTGCTTGAAAAAGTACTTTCTACTGCAGTCTTTTGAGGCATTAAAAAATACCTCCCTGCAACTGAACTCTGTAACTGAACTTCATTGTAAAAAATGTGAGTAATCGGATAAAACCATCTTTTTACTTTTAGTCTAACATAGCACACAACAACTTACTATACGACCTCCCCAATGTCAGAAAATAAAGCTCCCTCTCTGCAAACAGAGATTCCAATGTCCCTACAGTCCTTTGCAGCCTGCACCAAGAGTTGACCCTGTCTGTCAACATCACCTATCATGAAGGTCTCAGAGGTATCACCATGATAACCCTGAAAGAATACCTGTGAAACAAAACAAGATTCAAATATGACTGACCAAATGTTACATTTGTAATTAGCAAGAAAGCACTAGTAAATGCAAAAAATTCTTTTTAATAACAAGTAACTAGTGTATATCGAATGCTTTGAGCTCAAAATTATAAGCTTAGTAAAGTCAAACAGGATACTGAAATACCATAAGTTTTTTTGAGAGCATCTCAGTAGAGAAATGAATGGAGTATCGTGATTGCTTACGTATCTTTTAGATGTGGCACTCCGTGATGACGATGATAATGTCATAAGACTTTCCACTAAATGAAGGAGATTTATCAAAATCCTTTATAACACCATTTTCATTATAAAAGGCAGCACTCTATTGCAAAAATGAATTGGGGCAGATGAGCTTGATGAAAAAGGTTTGTGATTAATTACTCTGGGCTGTGGGCATGCAAGAAAAACTATGTTGCGTCAGTAGGCCTATTGTCATGGCATATTCTCTTACACATCACTGTGAAATTCCTTACTGACAGTAAAATGAGCAAACACTTTAAGTCTAAGAGAAGTTTATTTTCTTTTATCTGCACAGTTTTAGAATCTGGAACGAATAAGCCATGCTAAGGGCAAGTAGCCAGAACTCATAATTCAACATCATCAGAGTGAAAAATAGTGTGTGTTGCACAGCTTAAAATTCAATTAGGATAGCACACTTTGCATTACGCCTGTGAGAGCCATAATGTCCTTTGCATGCAGTAATGAGTTGAACAGAAAAAAAACTGCAAAGCACAAGATAAAATCTCTGCAAGAACCAATGTCAAAATTTATTATCATATCGCATCCCGGGTGCTTTCTTGTCGTATCTCCTTTTAAAACAACAGTGAAAACAGTTCATAACAAAGTGTGAGTGTGAGCTTAAGAAGAAGTCATATTTTCACTGTTTAAAAAAATGGAGATACAACAAAAAAGCACTGATGTCGCGATATGTGTGTGTGCCTGGACAAAGGTCCTGGTTGTTGGAAATATTGGATCTTGAAATAAGGGCATATTCTTGTGACAAATTTAATACTGAAGATGATGATTTTTTAAATTTTCAAGTATCTTGAGAAGTTTTAAAGATATGCCACATTTTGTAACACAGGGTGTGAAAACTAAGTCTGGAGAAAAATCAAATTTCTAGCACATTTTTAAATTAAATTTTTTAACCTTTAGTGAAATACATCATGTTGCAAAAATAATTAATAAAATAAATTTTGCCTCAAAATATTACATGCATAAAATCCTTTTAATTAAAGAATGGCTTATCACATTGACTAATCCTAAATAAAACAGAATTTATGAATAAGTTATTGTCTTTGCAATGATTGGAATAAAGATTCGAGAAAACCAAATTTGACGTTTTAAAAAAGGAGAAAAATGTACCTGAATTAATTTTCAGTGCCAAAAATTTAATTTAGACTGATGAAACTAAACAAGTTGCGAAAAAAGAAAGCACACCCCTTCTAACAATAATATGATAGTCAAATGTTCGAATCATTAGTAGTGTTAAATTTATAGAAAACAAAAACAAACAAAAAGACTTCTGGTTACAGAAATATTCAAATAAAAGGAATTTCCACACAATGACAAAAAGTACTTTCACTTTGAAACTGTTAGTGAGCAACCAAAAGTAATTTGACAATCTTACAGTGATATCCACATTGATGATATCTCCATCCTGTAGCACCAAAGATCCTGGAACTCCATGGCATGCTATATGGTTTACTGATGTGCAAACTGATTTGGGAAAGCCTTTATACTGAAGAGGTGAGGGATATGCTCCTGCTTCAATACTTTTTCTGTGAACCATTGCGTCAATGTCATCTGTTGTCATTCCTGCCTGTTTGGAAAGAGTTCCCAAGACTTGAAAGAATATTAAAAGAATAAAAAACTTTCGCAAGCACAGAGATCCAGAAGTAAATATTTCAAAATGTATCACTATTAGCCAACATTTCGTCACCTCAGAACTATTTTGTCTAAAGTGCTTCTTTACTTAAGTATACTTTGGACAAAACAGTTCTGAGGGGACGATTTATGAAAGTACTGCATGTTAACAAATTGAGAAGTAATTCCCTACAAGTACAAATCAAAGTGGTGGAGGGATAGAGTATGACCAGCTTTTTAAGGCCGTCCTGTCCCACAAGTTCAAACCATTACCATTGGGTCACCTTCATTTCATATCCAACAAGACGTTGGGTTGACGGAAACTTCATTGTCTCCAGGGATCACAGACTTAACATGGTGACTAGTCTGGGTTCAGGGTCAGCTGCTTGCCTTGCTTGGGGCTGGGCTGTTTCAATTTTGATAATTTTCAACTTTGGCTCTAAGATGTAGCCTGGTATTCATTGACATGCATATAAATTAAGGGCTACCTTATTTGGGCTATATGAATGTAGCCAAAATAGGGTGACCACCCCTGGGTTTTAACCTTATTTAGACTCCACTGGCTGATGCAGCCAAACATCTCTCCCATCTGAACCTGCAAGGCTTATAGGTTGCAACTTTATGTCCATAATCTTGATATAGTATGTCTTGTCTCTTACAGACAAGTGGTACTGAGTAGAATCTAGATTCTAGACTTACTGAATGCCAAATGTGGCGAAGTGAATCGAACGAAAGTCTCTAGAGATCACAAAGAATCCAGAACTAATGAATCACATAAATCTATAATTATTTAGGTCCTATGAATTTTAACAGAAATTCAGTGGGGTTCTTAGGTCTGTTTTTCTTATTATAGTTTACAGTGGAAACCTGAAATAACAGGGATGGTCGGACTAGAGAAAAAGTCCTGTTATATCCGATCCCTGTTAAATCAGAAAGTAAGGGAAGTAAGCATTTGTGGACAAATCAGCTGCATTTATTCATAGGTAGTTTCCCTTGTCACAAGTACCCACGAACAGGGGTTTTGGCCATTGGCAGGCCTGCGCAAGATCTAGGTTAAGGACTAGACGACCAAAGTCTGCAGCACACCGCAGCCCTCTCTCGCTTCACCCGATGCGTGTGCTTGCAGCAGTAGCGTGGCTTGCGTGGGGCTTGTTCAATCACTGCGTTACTCTCTCTCTCTCTTACTTTTTACACATTGTTGACGAGCCTTTGTCCCTGCTATAACTGGTTGGGCTCCGATGATGCGCTGTTATTGCCGATAATTTTTAATAGAGACAAAGAGTAGGAAAAAACGAGGATTTAAAAAATCTCTGTTATTACCGGGCCTGTTATATGGTTTCCACTGTATGATACACTGGTATTCTGGTTTTAAACACAGACAAAAACTAAACTAATTTAGAGATATAGAATCAACACCAAGCATAATGAATGTCACATGCGGTGAACTTCAGCGAAGTCTGACGAATGAAGTCTAAACACATCGCATTGGTCTAGATCCACTGTTTCACATAGATCTAGGAGGATCATGCATCCATTTACATCTGAAATCCACAGGCGTTGGCCCCCGGCCTTTACTGTAACCCTGCACCGTCACCGCCAGCTCTACCCCATCTCATGTATATAAAATTACGTTTGTTATTTCTCAACTTAACTGAAATCCCTCACAGAGTTTTTTAAACTATGAAAGAAAATGTAGAAATAGAAAAATATAATAGCCCTCGACACTTGCTTCTTTTTTTTGATGAATTAAAGCATGTGCAGTTTAAGTAAATTTTAAAATATTTTCTCTAAACAGCGCTCTAAATTCGAAAGTACATTTTAACATTAAAACAGCTAAAGAATTTGATATTTGTACAAGAGAGACTGCAGAAGTACACATACCTCAATATTGGCTCCAACATGCCGAAGGATGGATGCAGCCAGCTCACATGCAGGCCTCATTTCTTCAATTTGCAGTTTTGTCTTGACGTCAGCTGATACTGGAGAAACATCATTTCCAGAAAGAATATATGGAGGACTTTGGATCTTTTGTGGTACACTTCGGTATGTTGTGTATTTCTTTAGATTAAACATGCGCTGCAGAGTTCTCTGTAATACGGATGAAAATGAGTTTGACGAGTGTCTTGCACTGTTTACCGTCTTCAATAAAATATACTTTTGGCAGTTTCTTGGCATCACAGAAAAGCAACTCCATCCTCCTTTCGACAGTATACCTGTTGAGTAAATATATATATAAAAGACTTATTTCAGTATCATAGTTTAAAAAATAACAAACACAACAATTACATAGAAAGAATGACTGCTGCTTTTAGAATTTCAATTTACTTGTATTATGTATCAAATACAATTGACTACGGACGAGTTGATGGACAAAAAAACAAACAGCTGTATGTCTACAGGGTCCTTGACATGACATGTATAGCCAAACTTCTGTAATTGGTTGCTACTCATTTTCCCCAGTGTATGGCAATTGTGCAAGACAGATGTAGATGAGACAAGATGGGCCAGAGTTTGCCTCTAGTTTCTAGCCTTTACCAATCAACTCCTAGTCAAGGTGGCAATCAGTGCAATCCTGTTATATCGCCAGCCCGCTGTACCGCCAACCTCATCATGCTCATCCAAAGGTAGGCGGTATAATGGGATTTGACTGTTTGTTGAACTTCATCAGGTAAAATATAATGAAGTTTATTTTTAAATACTTAACAATTTTTGATAAACTATATCACATAATTTGTGAGAGGTATATATACTGGGAAACTTATGGAGATGCACCTTGTAAATTTTATACAAACCCTTTTTCATTTTCAAAAACGTGGCAACAACCTAAATTTTCAGAATTATGTAAATTTCTGTGCTTTTCTGACACCTACAGTGGATGTAAAAACCCCCCACCAACTATCAGTGGCAAATTACACAAATGGAGACTTTGTATGAAATCAAGCTTTTCAATGGTGAAGTTGAAGATACACACACACACACACACACACACACACACACACACACACACACACACACACACACACACACACACATACACATACACACACACACAGACATACACACACACACACACACACACACACACACACACCGTTGGCCAACTGTTAAAATCATGAAGCCTACAATTTTGAAATTTCAAAATTGCAGTTTCTTACACCGGGTGACCATTGACAAGATCAGTTCGGTTTGGTCATCAGGGCTAACCAGATTTTTCTTCATGGAGGGAGAAAAGCTACCATTGTGGCACAAACCGAACGAAAGTGACAATGACCTTCAAGAACAAATGTTTGTGTTCAAGGCCGTGAGTTGGGTTATCAGTTTGAGGCAGGGGTCTATTCATAGTGTGCACTGAAGCTGCTAGAAACATAACGTTCACGTAGCCGAACCGAAGGGATCCTCCAATTGGCACTGCCCATAATCTGTGATCATTTGCATGCACTAAAAAAATGTGTTGTAGAAATTCAAATTCTAAACTTTGAAAAAAAAAAGCAGGAAAAAATACATAAAATTAAAATAATTAAAAGTACAATTGTTAAAAGAATGAAACAGTTAGGCAATTTCTGTTTTTTGCCCCAACAAGAGTAATGAAATATTAATAGTAACTTTATATGGGTTAGGGTTGGGGTTAGGGTTAAGGTAAGGATTAGAATTAGGGGTAGGGGTAGAGGTAGGGTTACAAGTGTACAGGGGCAAGAGTAGGGGTAGGGGTAGGATTGCAGGATAGTAGGGGTAGTAGTAATCGTTGGGGCCAAAACCAGACTATTCCACTGTTTTTTTCCTCTCTCCTGAATAATTCTGCTTTCTTGGCTCAGTACATTCAGCTTGCCAAAGAATAATATTGCTAGATTCTTTTTTCAACTGGAAGCCAGTGTACAGCTTTTACAACTTTTTAAGCAGATCTTTCTTCTTTTTCTTCAGCTTGGGGTGTTATTTTGGGCCACTTGCAATATCATATATATAAATGTGAGGCAGCATAGTGAAATCAGGCGCTTGTCAAAATAATGAAATCCGAGAAATTAGCATTTTTTGGCCAGTTTGGAAATATTGTTCAAATTTTTGTTTTTTGGCTCAACACCTTGTATGTCCATTCTAAAACACATAAAAATGTGTGGATTTTATGGGAAAAAGTTGATTAAAGGCACAAAAAAGGTGAATTTTCAGTTTCCAAGGACTCTTAAGCTATGGGAGTCACCAAACTTTAGAGGCCATTTTCTCGCTAATTTTACTTCTGAAACCAGGTGACCCCACCTCCTTCAATCGCAAATATCTTGACTTCTATTCAAGGTAAATGGATATCTTTATCATCGAAAACAAAGCAAATTAACAAGCTTTAAGATGACATCAATAACTCCATATGCCCAAAAATTGACGAGCGCCTGATTATACCGCGTCGTGACACACACAAATATACATGTATTATATATAAATATATATACAGTCGAACCTGCCTTAATGGAAACCTGTATATGATGGAAACCTGTCTTAACGGAATCTCCTCGCTCCCCCCTTGATATATTCCTCTTGAATTACCACTATAATTCGGAAACCTGTCCAACGCGGAAAAGGAAAGAAAAATCCGCTCCCTTCAAAGAGTTTCACCTGTCTAAGACGGAAAATGCTTTGCCTGCTCAACCCTGATTTGAAACAAAACTCGCAAGTTTGGTTCTGCTGGCTCTAAACTTAACGCCATGGCCATATCACTAGGCGAGGAAGGGGAGTAGGGGTGCAATTTGGGGGTAGATGTTACCCCATCAAGAGAGCTCAGAGCGATGAAGATGGTCAGGGAAGTTTGGGTGTGAAATCTCCCCATTGCCCCTGAGAGTGCTCGAATAGCGAGCCACTACAGAAACTTTCCTGGGTAGCCAGAAGCCAGAGGTGTGAAATTAGTTAGTCTGACCAATGCCTGCCGCCCTGATTGTACGTACGCCAGCCGAGAAAAGAGTTCATCGAATCGTTGTTACATGATGGCAGTGAGGGGTGGCATTCGTTGAGTGTGCTTGTTACACCGATGGGTGGGGCTAAAGGTGGAAGCAAAGGAGATATTCAAATGTTTCTGTTTTTAATTGGTCAAGCAGTGGTTTTATGAAAGGCAAGCACTAGTGGTGATTGGATAAGTAAGAGTGACGCATGTCATTATCAGACAGGATAGCAGTTGAGAGGGGTGAAGTTTTGACCACTCCTTGCCGATCGGACTAGCGATCCTCGATCCCAAGGGCAGGGATTGACCCCCCTCCACTTCCATCTCCCCCTAAATTCCCCTGTCTAAGACGCAATTTTTTTCTGGCTTCCTTGTGATTCCGTCTAACACAGGTAGGACTGTCCATATTATCTTTTGATATATTTAATATTTGCAATGTAGTGTAGTAGTATTGGTGGCCAGATTTAACTTTGGTGGACCCACCGTGAAACAATAATAATGAAAACACACAAATGCAAAACAATAACATGACATGAGCGGACAATTGTGTACATATAACAACAGTGGGGGGTTCAGGGGCCCTGGCAATAATAATTTTAAAAACCCACACAAATGCAAAACAATAACATAAGAGTAGACCATCGTATGGCATTATCATTGCACAGCGAGGCTCAAAAGTAGTTCCGGCCTCGTTTGGTGTTGGGTCCACCAAAGTTCAGTCTTATTGTAATTATGGTAATTAATTAGATCTAGATCTATCTAGCCCTTGCCTAGATCAAGTATAGATTAATTCCAGTTTCCAATATTTTATTCTCGGAATGGAGTAGTCTCTTGGCCTTGATGAACGGTGGGGGAGGGGGGAGTAAGGGACAGCATGGGAAGGGCATGGGCAACATAACAGGCAAACCACAATACAAACGTTATATACTTTTCAACATGTTTTCATGCACGTATAGCGATGTCACTGGAAAGACAACTGAGAATATAAAAATATTGCTTCAAGGCGAATCAAGGGCAAGGTTGTAGAGAAAAATGGGCCAGCCAGTCTGGCAGTCTAGCATTCTAGATCTAGGCCTAGGCCAAGGATCTTTTCTATAGAATTTGAGAGCTATTATCTTATCGAGAATTTTTAATGTAATTATCGGAACTTTCTCCTGCTGCTGTCTAAAAATACGTAACGGAAACGGATCACTAACGATACACGTACGATGTAGGCCTATAATAATGTGTTAGCCTACATGAATAAATCTAACAAATGTATAAAACATGCGACTTAGATCTAGATGATGGCCAGAAAATAAAAATTAACGCATAGATCTGTATATTTGATTTTTTTTTTTTAAACGACAGGGCACATTAACCTGACTAGCCTTTTCCATTTTTATTTTAAGTCAAGATGACAAGGCGCATGCGGCATTAGATCTACCCGGTATAGGACTTTCCCTAAAATATTTCAAGTCTTTTAATGCAAACATGTGGGTATAAATAACGATCGCAGAGCAAATTTATTCAATATTACCCATAATACAAATTATGCCCCC